TTGATTTTTTTTTTTCACTTTGTTTTTCTTCATAAAAAAAAGGTTAAAAAAATGCTTGCTGAATAAATGAATATTCTTCAGTTCCAACCTTCATCATTCATCTACTCTGGCCCTTTCCTTTCAGGTAACAAACACACTCTAGTCTTGGGGAAAAAAACACTAGAGGTTTCTTTTTCTTTCTATTTTTTTTTTTTAATTTTTCTTTCCTTCTAAGTTTCTGCAATATCTTCCTGCATCCTTTCAACACAAAGCCTCTTTAAAGAGTAGTATTTTTGTTACCATTTTTTAGCTGCTTTTATTCCATAGTCTGTTCTGTCATTCATTCCCGCCACTCTATTCAAACTTCTCTCACTGTTGTCATCAATGATATGGTTCCTGGAACCAGTGGCAGATTGTTACAAACGTGACTGTCTATCATTTGTTCACAGAATTCATTCAACAGATGATTGAGGTGTTGCTACAGGTACTTAGAATGCAGTGTGAACAAGACTGACAAGATCTTTTGAGGTCTCACAGAGCTTGCATTCTCCTGGTGGAGACTGGAATTAATATTTAAACAAAAATAATAATTTCAGATAGTAATAGGAGCAATAGGGATAATAAATCAGTGCTCTTGAAGTGTGATGCAAGGCAGGAGTCATTTTATTTTTTTTATAAATTTTTTTTTCATTTTTTAGAGGAGAAGGGAGGGGAAAAGAGAGGGAGAGAAACATCGATCAGTTGCCTCTCACATGTCCCCTCCTACTGGGAACCTGGCCTGCAACCCAGGCAAGTGCCCTGACAAGGAACCGAACCAATAACCTTTCAGTTCACAGGCCAGTGCTCAATGCACTGAGCCACACCAGCCAAGAGCAGAAGCCATTTTAGATGGAACAGTTAAAACAAATCTCTCTGAGGAGTATTTGACGCTGTTAGTCATTCCCTCTCCCCTTAGTTTTTCCTGTTCCCATTGGCTGCTACCTCTCTAATCATTCCTCTTTTGGTCTCTTGCTTAACTATTCCTTATCTGCCTGCTTTCCTCTTTTTAATTATGAAAATTTTCAAAGATAAATTCTCAAAAATAGAATAATACAGTGAACAAACATGTACCAGTCACCCAAATGCAGCAGTCATCAAAATTTTGCCACATTTGCTTAATTTATTCCTTTTTTCTAATTTACTGAAATATTTTCAGCATTATAAACATGTCATTTCTTCAGTTTGCATCACTAAAAAGTAGGGTTTTTTTTACATAACCACATCTTAAAAAATTAGTAATGATGCTTAGATATTACCCAGTACCAATCTTTAACCAGATTTTCCAGATTTCCTCCACAATGGTGTTTTTATTTTATTTTTTATTTTAGAGAGAGGCAAAGGGAGGGAGAAAGAGAGGGAGAGAAACAGTGATGATAGAGAAACATCAGTTTCCTTCTGCAAGCACCCCAACAGGGGCAGAGCACAGAGCCCACAAACCAGGCATGTGCCATAACCAAGAATCAAACCATCAACCTTTTGGTTTGCGGGATGACGCCCAACCATCTGAACCATGCTGGCCAGGACAAAAACAGTATTTTTATAGTCCCAAACTAAGTCTGCATATCTAATTTGGTTGCATTTGTTAAGCTTCTTCTCACCTAGAATGATCTACCCTTGTTTGTCCCCTGCCATTAGAACCCAAGTCAGCCAATATAGAATTCTGCTTTCTGAATTTACTTTGTGTAAAGATGAGACCACCTCTCAATAGCTGAAATGAAAAACATAAAGCTGATTCTATTGCTTACTGAAGTAAGGGAGAGCAATGCTAGCTAGTCCAGTAGAGTCTCCCCAAGCAGAATAGACCACTGTTCTTACATAGGGTTTGGGGGAAGGGTGGAGTTCAACACTTGGCCACTTTTCAGGGCCATAAGTGGGTTGACATCATCTGAAAGAGTGTTTTTACTTGGGTGGGACTGTTGTTGCTCAGTTGGCATTCAGGTGTGGTTAGTGAAGGCAACCCACTCTTGTTTGGCTAATTTTCACAGAGAGCAGTTACTGATTGGTTGGTTTGCAAAACAAACAAACAAAACAAAACCAGCAACAGCTCTGTTCACCTAGGCAAATTGTCCTTGATCAGTTGAATGGATTTAAAACCAGTTCTGGTGGCTGTGGTGTTACCATGATTACATAACAATTAGTCTTTTTCTACTAGCGTGGATATGTTTTTATTCTCTTTATGATATCATTTACCTTGTTCCTTCATCGTGTTTTTGGCAAGATTATTTCATAGTTCATGCTGTTGCATCACATTAAGAGGCTTACAACACCTGGTTGTTTCACTTTAAGTCATGAGTTCCCGTGGTTACAACTGATCCCTCCATTGTAAAGTTCCCTGTCAGGCTTTTATCTTTTGGTTTCATTCGTTGATAATCATTACTTGAAACAATTATTTTACTAGGAATTAAAAATTGGTGGTTTTCTATTACTATTATTCGTTCATTTATTAGCTGGTTTTTCCCCACACAATGAACTTTTTTGACTAGGGCTATTTTGTTACCATGAAATGAGGCTCAAACAAGAAAGGCAGAATAAATGCTTAATTCTTTTCTTAATTATTTCCATTTGTCAGAGCCCTAGTTACTTTCAATGGTGTTGGTGCCCAATTAGTTGGGTTTTTATGTTAGTTTTGACTTTTCTTTTTTTACTATAATGAACTTGTGGGATTTAATAGTATGCTTCAGCCAATTCCATTCATTATTTTTAATGTCCAAATTGTCCTTATTCTGATCACCTTTTAAATGTCCTTGTTACCCAGTGTTTCATCTCTAATACACTTTTCTTCCCCTCTGTGCTCACTTTCCTGGCTGACCTTAGTCTTTCCTATAGCTACTCTCACCATTTTAATTACTCCCAAATCACTCTTTCCTTAACTTACCACACACCAGACCTATATTTTCATTTACTCACCTCTCTAGCTCTCTCAAAAAATGTATATGCAGGATTTAACATTTTAATCTCTATTTGCTGTTCTTTCCTCTTGTATTCCTAATTAGTAGCATTTCCATGCAACCAGAAACCTGGGAATCATTTTGATTCCTCTCTCGTGCATATGCAGGTATTCACCAAATTCATTCTCAGAAATATCTGTGTCCCAGCCTTTCCTCTGCATTGAACTGCTTACAGTTGAGAGCCATGATGATTTCCTACCCTTATTCTTGGGCCAAGCTCCGAAGTACAATGCGTATTACCTACCAACACTTCCTACTCCAGAACTTTTTATACCATCCTTGGAGTTTACCTTCTTGAAAATAAATCTGTTCATGTTAGTCAACAGTTTAAAGACCTCTGCTATATCCCCGTTACATAACAGAGCAGTATTTCCCCAGATTTGTTCAACAGAACCCTAATTGTACAAAATGTTAATAGGTCCTCTCTGAGAGTTTCTGGAAACAAATGTTTAGAAAAATACTGGGTCTATTTATTTATTTATTTGTTTGTTTGTTTGTTTGTTTATTTAAATGAATAAATTCTCAACCTTTAAATTGCATTGAAGTCCTGTCTTCACAGTCTCTGGTGCTAAAATAGATATCCACTACTGTTCCTTTAGCACTCTTTCCATATGTCCTTCTGAATTTGTCTCTTAACGTACCAGGATTATCTATATCCATCTTCCCCACTGACCATCGGGGGCTATCTTTATCTCTGTATCCTCAACACTAAGCAGTGTCTAGCACATAGTAGCTCAATAGCACCACACTGAATTATAAATGGATCTGTTTCTGAAATAGAAATTTCTCTGCTAGCCATTTCCCCAGCTCTGTTATTATTTTCATACTTATAGGTTCATTGGTTTTCTTAATTTGTAGGTTGGAGAAAAGATTAAAATTATGTATTAGAGCTGAAACAGACCTTCAAGTTCATCCAGGCCACTAGTTTTCAGACTGTGTGCCCCAAACTCATAGATATTCCATAGATCCCTTCCCTACCAGCTTCTCTTCCCTGCAGGACTATTAAAGGGAATGGAGGGGAGAAAAATAAACAGACAAAGCATATGTTCTTTTAGCAGTTTTAAATGTTGAACTTTTAAAATTCCTTTGAAAAAGGGTTCCAAGGCTACAGTTTGAGAACTGTTGATCTAATCTCCCATCCCTTTGCTTATGAAGAAGTGGCAATAGCCCCAAGGGGATTAGCTTTAGCAAGGTCACAAAGTTCTTAGTGAAAGAGCGAGGACTAAGATTTAGATGCTCTTACTCTCACAGTAGTGCTTATTGCAAAATTCTGAAAAATGAAAAAGTTCATTAGGATATTATGGACTAAAATTGTTATGTGTTCACACCAAAACCTATACACAAATGTTCTGAGCAGCTTTATTTTTAGTAGCCCAAAACTGGACAGGATCCCGATATCCTTTAATAGGTGAATGGATGAACGAACAGTGGTACATTCATGCCATAGAGTACTACTACTTAGCAATGAATAGGAACAAACTCCTGATACACACAGTAACTTGGAAAAATCTCAAAGGAATTTATGCTGAGTAAATAAAACAGTTACCTATTGTATGATTCCATTTACATTCTTAAAATGACAAAATTATAGAAATGAAGAATTAGCTCAGAGGCTGCCAGTAGTTAGGTATTGGGGGAGGAGGCAGATGGATGTGGTTGTAAAGCGGTACATGAGTGATCCTGGTGGTGGTGAACCATTCAGTGCCTTTATTGTGGTGATGGATACAAAAACCTACACATGTGATAGAACTAAACACATATGTGCACGCACACACAAACATACAATGCAATTAAATGGAGACATCTGAATGAGATCAGTGGATAGTATCAATGTCAATATCCTGGTTGTGAAAGTGTACTATAGTTTTATGATGTCAACCTTTGGGGAAAACTGAGTAAAGAGTACATAAGATCTCTCTCTATTATTTCTTACAACTGAGGATGAATCCACAATTATCTTAAAATAAAAAATTTAAAAGTAAAATACAGGTACTTCAAAAAAATAAAATGTTATTATGTGGATTTATTATTTAGAGCTAAACTTGGGATGCCACAGTTTTTGAGTCCTGAAGCCCAGAGTCTTTTACGAATGCTTTTCAAACGGAATCCTGCAAACAGATTAGGTAAAATTTTTATTTTGTTCTTTTGTGTTTATAGGTATTTGTTTTCGTTCTGGGGGGGGAGGGGGTAGGAGGTGGATATTTGTTTTTGTTGTTGAATTATGAACTATTAGGAAAAATATTAAAAGTGACAACTAAATAAACAATATGTATGCCTGCTTCATATAAAATTACCATTTAATGAAAGCTGGTTAATTTTCGATAGGCGCAGGACCAGATGGAGTTGAAGAAATTAAAAGACATTCATTTTTCTCAACAATAGATTGGAATGTAAGTATAGAATGAAAATTTGCTTGAATTTTTTTTATAATTAACCCATGTCTAAGTCTCTTTTTTCTCCCAGAAACTATACAGAAGAGAAATTCATCCACCTTTTAAACCTGCAACTGGCAGACCTGAAGATACATTCTATTTTGATCCTGAGTTTACTGCAAAAACTCCCAAAGGTAAGAAGAAAACACAAAAACCCAAATGTAAGACAGTATTTTCCTTGTTCAATCAGAAAATCTTTTCCAGTTTAATTCTTTATGCTATCCTCATATCTCCCTTCCAACCCTATTCCTGCCACAGTAACTAGATAATTAATAAATTCTTTCCAGCTTTTATAGCAGTTAAGATCCTTGTTAAATCTGTTAGCAAATTATATTGTACCTTAAACTTTTATACTATTTCTGTGGAAAACTACTTGTGTTTATTTACCTGTAGATATTTTTACATGAAATACTCTTCAGTATAAATAGTTCTCTTTAAAATTCTAATATGAGGTGGTGTCCTGGAAGTACTTGTAAAGTGTCAATCCCGAACATAACTTTATGTGAGGATTGATAATTTCAAAATAAATCATATCCTGTATCATGATTTATCCTAAAGTTGCATAAACAGTGACTATTATAGAGAAGTAATCTTTGAAATGATAACCTGTATTTCATTAGTTAGTATATGTGTGTATATTATATAATGGTGTGTTTTGCACTTTAATACTCTCTCATTTAGGTGTACCAAACCACAGATTTATCATCAACTAGCAAATAAAAGTATACTGATGTATATTTGCTATAAAGCGTTCCAGCCAAAATCTTTACAATCTATAATTGAGCATTTATAGGTGTTTATTATTTTTATAAAATAGTCTTAGAAATTTGGACTAATATATGAACAAAATTTTAGCAAATACGTGGACGGTGAAAGGCATAGAATTGATGATATGTGGTGGTGTTTTACTTTGCTTTCTCAATACAATTTGTCCTCATAGAGGAAAAAATCTCAGAATAGAGCAGTTCTTTATGTATTCTGCCTAGATAGGTTTTCTTAGCAGAAGTCTTCAGTGTAATACTGTCACATTGATTTAAAATTTAATAAACAGTATACACTGCTGAGGATATCAAGCTGATGATAAAAAATTCTTTATATAGAGTTGACGTTTAACTAGATTTACCTATTTACCTATTTGTTTTTTGCTTGCATTTAGCATTTTGAGTATGTTTATAAATGTTAGTATGCCTAGTTGTATGTTTTTATTTATGAATAACATGTTTGTCTTTAAAATGAGCATTAACTATATTGTAAAAGTGTTTTTCTGTTTTTGTTAATGTCAATAATTCCAATAAATAATTTGAATAACAACACATGTCATATCATAAAATATATTTTAAGGACTGCATATCATCATTGTCCTAGAAATTACTTTTGATCCTTAAATATATATATAATAATTTTAACTTGTAGTTTAGATATTTAGATTCTGACTTTATATACAAGGATCACTGAACTAAATTCTTTTCTTCTAAATTATCTGTAGATCAACCTCATTAGGTTACCATTTAGGGCTGCATCATCCAATGTGGTAGCCAGTAGCCACATGTGGCTATTGAAAGTTATGTTAATTGAAATAAAAAATTTTGTTTGCCAGTCACACTAACCACATTTCAAATGTTCAGTGGCTGTATGTGGCTAGTGGCTACCATATTATATTAGACAACACAGAAAAAGGAAATTTCATCACTGCAGGAAAGTCTATGGTACAGTGCTAATTTAGAATAGCATTAACACAATTATCCATTGATTTATTGTATTCTTAAATGAATTAGCTATTTTCTGGGCTCTGAGGGACTGGGATATTAGAGTTGTGGTGGCAATAAGCCATCAGGACAGATATGACACAGTGCCTCACTGACTTATCCTGTAAGTACTAGGTGCCTGAGAAGTAGAATTCCAGAAAAAGGGTGAAAGGTTGTAATATGGACAGTTTTTCCCTTAATTACCTTTTGAGGTTATTACCTTCTTAGTAATTTATTATTCTTTTCAGATTCACCTGGCATTCCACCGAGTGCTAATGCACATCAGCTTTTCCGAGGGTTTAGTTTTGTTGCTATTACCTCAGATGATGAAAGCCAAGCTATGCAGACAGTTGGTGTGCACTCAATTGTTCAGGTGAGTGAGTGTCTAAGTAATTTTAAATTAAATATTGTAAGATATGGTTCATTGTATGAATAATTACATTAGGTTCGATCTGCTGACTTAAGTGGGCAGCTTAAAATACATTTTATATCATTGATGTTACTCTTAGAAATTTCTTTCATATGCCTTTGAAAAGGTTGCATACGCCAGAGTCCTATGTACCTTTCTGACTTGAAAGTGGAAATTCTAAGAGAGTTGAGATAAATACCGCCATCTCGTCTCTCCTCTCTCCTGTGCGTCAAAATGTTTCTCAGGTCTAATTTCTTTCAACCTCTGCATCTGCCAAGTCAGGTCTGATGAACTGAGGTCTGCCTCCTGCTTCCCTGATGCCTTAGAGGAGGGGTCAGCAGACTTTTTCTGTAAAGGGCCGGATGATAAATATTTGAGGCTCTGTAGGCTGTATGATCTCTGTTGCGACTACTTGGCTCTGCCACTGCAGTACAAAAGCAGCCATAGACAATACAAAAATGAATGAGCATGGCTATGTGCCAGTAAGACTTTCTTTAGAAAAACTGGTAGTGAACCAGATTTGGCCCACAGGCTGGACTTTGCCAACCTCTGCGATAGAAACATATAAGAAATCAAAATGACCTTAAATCTTAAGTGTGCAAAGTTTTTGTGTCCTTGTTCCTTTGGTGCCCCCATTGTCATTAGACAAAAATGGTTACGGGTACTGCCTTAGGGTGCCTCCTACCTCAGTATCCCATCTGTTTACCAGAGTTGGAAAAAAAGGAGGTAAAAGCCACAGAAGCAGTTCTTAGGTATGTATATGTTTTTGTAACAGGAGACTGGACTAGTAAATTAAATGTTATTAAAGAAACAGAAGTAGTACAAAACATTAGATTTATTTCTTCTTATCCTAGTATTCATGGAAAGATAAATTTAATTTACCTTCCTAATCATAGAGGGGATTGTTTTGAGGGTGTAATTAATTAGTGCTTGAATTTCCTTGATAATTAAGTTCCTTTCACTCTAAAGTATTTTTTGTGAGTCAGTCATCTTGCTTTCTCCACTTTCTAGAAAACCAATTTAAACACTGGTTTTTGAACAAAGTTCATGCTGAAATAGTCTGTCACTCTTATTATGACAACCATATGATACATTGCAAGTTTTAAAGCTATGACTTCTATACCGAACATAGAAATTGCAAACATTTATTCTATAGAATTCAAGTTTTAACCTATATGAAGCTATAGGCATGGGAGAGTCTCCTATCAGTATAGTCCAGGGCAGCACAACTTCCCTTAGCCTGTTACGGAACCAGTAATTTGCTGTTCATCACCCTCTATGTTATTAGTCCTTAACCCAGGGTTAATGGCTTTTCTAGAAGGAGCTGTATTGAAGCTATGACTTGAGGGTGGAGAAGGGAAGGTATGACTACCAATAGTTCAAAATGGTGATAATAGTTATCACCTCCAAATACTTTATTTTATTTAATCCTCACCATTACCCTCCGAGAATACCGAAATTCAAGGTTGCACAGCAGAAAAACAAAAAAGGTTACACAGCCTACAAGTGGTAGACCTGAGACAAGAATCCAGATGTAATTCTGAATCCTGCTAAATCTTTTTTTTCTATACCAGAGGTTTCATACTTCTCCCTATTTGCAAAAGTACCTCAAAGACCAATGGCCTTCTGGGGAGGAGAAGAGGGCTCAGTCACAGATAAGACTGTTGACACCTTACCAAGCAGTTCTGCGTTTTCTGTTGTACATATTTAACTTTTTCATTTTAATGTAAGCTTTTTTTAAAGGGCGTATTTCACGTGATACATTTTATTGGAGACACTTCTAAAATATGCAGTGTAGAAGAATAAATGATTTAAAGATTGATTTTTATTTTTACTGATACTTGTTTATACTTAGCATCAACGGTGCATGTTGAGTAACATTCCCCTATTATGAAACGTACCAAAGTCATTACAGAACTCTTTATCCGTTTATAACTGTTTGTAGCAGTTGCACAGGAACAGTATTCAGTTTACTGATGGATATGAAGTGAAAGAAGATATTGGAGTTGGCTCCTACTCCGTTTGCAAGAGATGTATACATAAAGCCACAAACATGGAGTTTGCAGTGAAGGTAAATGTTTTTAGATATAAAATGCAACTTTAACAGTTTTTATTCATGGTAAATGTGTCTTTTGTTATAGAAAGGTAAAGTTAATTTAAATCTATGGCTAGTGATTGTCAGAAAACCATGGATTCCCCTGTGAGCTAAAGGGAAGGTAGCGCACATCCAGTTTGCTCAGGGAAGCACCAGTTTACACCTGACCTGATTTTTTTGTGACACCCCTTTTACTCTCAAAAGACTCCCATTTTATGCTCAAGGTGTCAAAGAATTCCTCAAAATTGTATACAAAATTTTGTATGTTTATATTTTTCTAGCAAAAAAGTGATTCATACTTCCTTCATATCTAAAAGAATCTGTAAGCCAATAAAAAAATAAGAACCACTGTCATAAAATTTATTATCATTAGTGGTTTTAATTTTATCAGGTGTTTAAGACAGTAAGATTTTTCTAAGCCAAAGCCAAGACACATGGCTCTGTGATAAAGTTTGAGTTCCAAACCTTTAGCTGTATGTGAACAAATACAATATTCAAGTCTCTGCCTTTTCACTTCTTGGAATGGTAGCCTTTTCTCTCCCATCGCAGACAATTCAAGTAATATCTAAAGCTTCCAACTGATCGGCAACCTTAGAACTAGTCTGTAAGTATGGGTAGCTCGTGTTTACCTAGTGGGAGAGCAGTATTAATTATGATTACTTCCTTCCATCCATTTATCTAGATATATAGTATGATTTCATATGTAAAAATAATGTGTTTTATATATGCATAGCAAATATCTGGGAAGACATACACACAAATATTGTTCTTACTATTCTAAACTTGGATCTAATTGCTTTGAAAAGTCATCGGTGTCCATAAGGCTTTCTGTCTTTTTTTAAAGATTTTATTTATTTATTTATTTTTTAGAGAGAGGGTAAGGGAGGGAGAAAGAGAGGGAGAGAAACCAATGTGTGGTTGCCTCTTGCACGCCTCCTTCTGGGGACCTGGCCCACAGCCTAGGCATGTGCCCTGGCTGGGAATCGAACCAGTGACCCTTTGGTTTGCAGGCCGGCATTCAGTTTACTGAGCCACACCAGCCAGGGTGCCTTTCTGTCAATTCTAAGGGTAAACCAGAAATACATTTTAATTTGCTCTTCCCCTACTCATTGCTCATAGTAAAATCTGGGGTACATAGAAATTTTCAAATTGCTTACATGAAAGAAGAGAATGTGAATAATGTACTTGGTAGTCAGTTAAAAGACTTGCTTCCATAAACACATCAGGAAAAGGAAAAAATGTCCAGGAACTGCCAAAACCCTGAGAATATCTTGAAGCTATTTGTGGATTCTTGTGACTTAAATTTACATTCATAAAACCAATCCCAGCATAACTTGATTCTACGGAAATTACTACAAATCTTAAGATCCACAAGCACAAGTATGGATTTAATGTAAGCTGGGCTAAGATTAGCAGATCAGAGAGAATGTTGCCAAAAATAACACTTCCAGTGTGTTCTGGTTTTCACAAGACTAGCCCCAGATCATATCCCTTGAATTAACATGTCTATTCTGTATACCTTTCCTCATAATCATCCATTTGCCTAATTCCAAACTATCATTTACATTTGATTACAGTGGACACCTATATGTTTGTCTTCCCTGTTTTCCAAATACAAAACTGTTTTACAACGAAATCCGTGTTAGGTAGCAGATGTGGCTCATGTTGAGATTTGCAAGCTAGGTTGCTGGAGCATTTGGATATTTATTGCATATATTAATTACTAAGCTGTTTTATTTATTTATTTTTAATTGCATTTATTGGGTTGACATCAGTTAATACAATTGTAGAGGTTTCAGGGGTACAATTCTGTAATATGTCATCTGTATATTGTTACTAATCTGTTCTAAAATTGAAAATAGGTAGGTCCCAAAATTTATTTCCAACTACCTTTTCAAATTTTTTATTTATTGATTTTAGAGAAGTGAGAGAAAGAAACATCAATTTGTTGTTCCACTTATTTATGCATTCATTGGTTGATTCTTGTATGTGCCTTGACTGAGGATTGAACCCACAACCTTGGCATGTCAGGGCCATGCTCTGACCAACTGAGAGCTGCCCGCCAGAGTCCAACTACCTTTCGGATAAAATGAAATCAAACCTTATTTAAATACAGTATCACTTTAATAGATTAAAACATTAAGAGAAGTATTTTTAAGAAGCAGTTGACATAAGCCCTGGCTGGCGTGGCTCAGTGGATTGAGTGCCGGGCTGCAAACCAAAGGGTCTCCAGTTCTATTCCCAGTCAGGGCACATGTCTGGGTTGTGGGCCAGGTCCCCAGTAGGGGGCATGCAAGAGGCAACCACACATTAATGTTTCCCTCCCTCTCTTTACCCCTCCCTTTCCCTCTCTAAAAATAAATAAAATCTTTAAAAAAAAGAAGCAGCTGACATAAGAGGGTTGGAAAGCTACATTAGTATTTTAAAGAGCTTTATTATAATAATTAAACTTAATTCTAGCCAAGTAAAATTCTAAGTGTGGTTTTCTGCTTAGCTTTCTGCCTAGCTTCAAAAATAAGCTTGTTCTACCTAACTGTTAATTAATTTTTTATACAAGTGGCTTACAACTAATGCGATATTCCATTGAAGCATTTTATTAAAGGAAGTAAAGTTAATTCAATAAACAGATGTTGGTGGTGGTGTTTATATGTAGATATAGATGTAGATATAGATATAGATATCTTAATTATCTATATTGACAAGGCTTAGAACTTGACTGAGTTTCCAGAAGTTTACAATGTTTAAGGTTGAAAGAAAGCTGTTAACCATGTTCTTGGTACCTTTTCCTGAGGTTTTTGAGTTTTTAGTAAGTCCTAAACTTACTACAAACTTAAACTGGAGAGACCTGGTGGGAATGTGACTCATGGCATAGAATTTACTTTATTTACAGCCTTACCATCTACATCAAGACTGGCTTTTGAATTTTGATTTGACAGTCTGGCCAGGTACTTGAGTAAAACTGGTTAATAAATGGCTTATATATACAGCATTTACATAAGATGCTACACAAGGTCTGTAGCTGTAAATACTTAAGGTTTATAAATGTACAATTCATGAGGTTTTGTTATTAATATTTGTTTTTTAGATTATTGATAAAAGCAAGAGAGACCCAACAGAAGAAATTGAAATTCTTCTTCGTTATGGACAGCATCCAAACATTATTACTTTAAAGGATGTAAGTAGATTCTTTAATATAGACATTTGAATCATTTGTCTAATTTGCATCTGGAATGTTTTCAAATATCATGTGGTAGACAAAACTGAATATAGTGAGTAAAAAAGTAGATTGGAAGATAACATATATAGCATAACTTCAGTTATAAAGAAAAACATATTTATACAGTTAATTTTTCTACTTTTGCTATAAGAAGAAAAGTATTATTGACATTGCTTTTAATATCTGCATTCACTGGAACATTTGGATATTAATTAATATTCAGGATCGACTAGTCTCATACTCCATGGACTCCCCAAACTCTCTTTCTCAATACTGCCAGAGACAGCTGCTCTCATCTAATCATGTCACTTCCCTGCCTACAGTTCATAACCTCTCATCACCTCTGGTCTCTGCCTTCCTCCATGAATAGTAGTTTTCTCACCCATCCTATGCTCCATCCATGCTCCAATATGTATACATTTTTGAAGATGCCTCATTTTCTCATGCAGCTCTGTCTTTGACTTTATGGTTCCCTCAGTTGAGAACACCATTTCCTTTCTTTACCTGGCTAACTACTGCACATTTAAGACTTTGCTAAAGCGTTACTTCCCCCAGGAAGCCTGCCTTGCTCACCACGATCCCTAGGACAAGTGAGGTATCCTTTCCCTGCTACCTTTGATTTTTATCATAACAGAGCTCTTGGCAAAGGGTGTGAAACTCCCAGGCAGTATTGAGTCCTCTCTTCCTGATGGTGGTCACATAGGCTCAAAGGCCGCATCTGGTTGTTGTATACCAGGTGTCACGTGGCTAACTGAGCCAGAGGATTTCTGAGGAACATTTCACCTTTAAGATTTTGGGAATTCCAAAGTTTACCCTCCCTTCTCCTTCTGAATTAAAACTCCAGTTCTTCAGATTAATTTATCGCTGCTCATTGTTATAAGGGAAATGTTAGCTTAGTCCCATTAAAATGTGAAGCTGTCCAACCTAAGTGACTTTTTAATTAATATAACTTCCAAGAATCTAACCAATAAATTAAAAAGGAAATGTAGAAAATACTTTTTGTCATCCTTGCCTTGGAAACTCCCTAAGCTGTTGTCATTTTTTATATCTTTGTTCCTTCCCTCATTTCAAATTCCAAAGTCTCTAATAATATTTTTCCCACTTTTATTATAGCATCTCCAATAGTTTTAAAATTCTTATAGTTATGTCTTTTTCTCCCTATTGGAATAAAAACTTTCAGGGCAGGTACCTTGTTTTTTCCATGTTTGGGACCCCAAATGCAGTAACTCTGGTGAAGGGTGAATAGGAGGCTCTGAAGTTTAATAAAGGGGCCATTTCAGTTCAGGATTGCCTGGAATATAAATCCAAAATTACAGTGACCTTACTATTTCTACAGTAGAAGGAAACTGGTGTGCTTCTGGGTGACTGAATGGAATTTCTCTTTGCTACTTAATTTTCCTACTTCATTCTGGCCACAACTTGACTTTCAGTTTAACCAAAACCAGAATAATGCATTGTTCTGTGTATATAAATATAGAATTTCTGCAATTGCAGAAGTTCCAGGAAAATCACAGGAGTATGTCTTTGTACCAATCCCTGCCCCCTCAGCAGAAGATAGAAAGATCAAGAGGAACAAACCCTAAGTGCAAAAGTTCAGATCCTCTTTGTATACGATGCCCGTAGTTTCACAGGAAGAAATTACAGGCGGTTTTTCTGACATTCAACCTCATCAATTCCTATTTTCATATTATGTGTATAAAACCGTTTGCAAGATTTTTATCCTCCAGTGGTTGTGATAAGTAAAATTTCCCTTGAGTATAAAGTAAGTTTTAATTTCTCTTTAATATACAAAACTTTGTTTTGAACACATGTAAAGCTTCACATAATTTTTTCCCACTTTTGTGTTGAATTTTATAGGTATATGATGATGGGAAATATGTGTATGTAGTGACAGAACTTATGAAAGGGGGTGAATTGCTGGATAAAATTCTTAGACAGAAATTTTTCTCTGAACGAGAGGCGAGTGCTGTCCTGTTTACTATAACCAAAACTGTTGAATATCTTCATGCACAAGGGGTAAGTCTTTTTAACATTTTATATATGCAAATATTAATATATAAATATATATACATCTATACGCACATACACACAAACATAAATACCTTTTTCTTTTGTTCATGTTTGAACTAAAGTCACAAAGGTAGGAGTTACTTTATGCATGTAATCGAAAATAACTACTATTATCTTAACTATCCTCCTATTCTTCCTCTATGTAACTGTCTGCCATTATGCCTGAAGTGCTACTTTGAAATCCTAGCTTGTTTATATTGAATTCTTATGCTTCTCAAGGAGAAGTGTCTGGGATCTTCTGAGCCGGAAGACATCATTATTTTGCTAGGCCACTCTGTACTCTTGAGGAATGGGCCCATTTAAAGTTTAGAAACAGTACCAGAGAATCATGGATTGTATTCACTTATAAAAGGAAATCCTTCAAATGGATGAGGCCAAATAGTCACCTGGCTTCTGGCTGGTGGATGCTCTCCTCATTTCTTCCTGCAAATTATTAGTAAATATCAAAAAAAAAAAAAAAAAAAAAAAAAGGCCATGTTTGTAAAAGAAGGGAAATCTGAGAGGGAACAAAGGCAAAAGGAGAAAATGCAGGGAGGGAGGGAGGAACCGAAAACAGCAGAGGTGAAAAGGAATAAGAAGCAAGAAAAAAAAAGATTACTTCTTAAGGAGTGTATTTTCAATACTGATTTTGTTTGTCTTTACCCCTAGAAGTTAACAAGTGGACTGTTTTGATTTAATTCTAGAGCTTCTTGACTGTAGCTGGTCAAGAGTCACCTAATACTGTACCCAGAAACTAGTAAACTCAAGTGTTTATGACTTTGCAGTTATCTAAGTCTTCTATATTCTTTTCTCAGTGTTTTCACAGTAGTAAGTTATTAAAATGGTCTGGAGAAGACACGTTCAGGATGTTAGGAACTAAAACTGAGGTGAATAATCAGAATAGAGACTCAGAATTTGATGATGGAAGAAATACATAAGTCTAATAAGGAGTGTCAGAGAGGCTTATGATAAAAGAAGTATTCAAGTAGGTGATTAAAGGAGAAAAATAATACAAAACTCTGAAGGAATGATATCTTTGTGTGTATGACATTGTTGCATGGATATCAGATAGGCAATACATAAAGTCTGGATTTTTTTTTTCCTTTTCACTCCTAAATCCCATGCCTGATCCATTGAGCCTGCCAGCATAAGCTTGTTATGTACATTCATTGTACTTGTTCCTTCTTCTTAGAATGACTGTCCCCCGCTATTCTGGCTTGTTCGTTCTGTTCTAAAGGTCTTAGATTAGATGTTACCTCCTCTAGAGAACTCCCCTGACCTCCCTAGTTGTGCACCATCTCTCAACTGCTTATTCTGACTCCCCACCACCTCGTAAGCTCCTAGCATGTAAAGGCAAGGATCTTACAGGTTTTGTTCACCATAGTAAGTGCAGCTCCTTATGTATTACCCTGGCACGTGATAGGAACTCAATAATATTTGTCTAATGAATGAATAACCTGGAGACAGATATTATTGCTATTTGCATATCTCCTTAACCCACTTACTCAGTTGGATAAAGAGGGGGAAGGTAAATACTATTCTTTCTTCCTCCTCTCTTTGCTCCACTTCTGTGTTAAGAGTTATACTTGCATTATCAGTGTTTTATAATGTTGGGTTAATTTAAAGGTTAGCACTCATTATCTAGTTAAGTGCATTGCCTGACAGTTTTGAATAAAGAATTTTCTAGAATGGAAATGTATTGTAAATGTAGCTCTACTTTGTATTTCATTTAGGTGGTTCACAGAGACTTGAAACCTAGCAACATTCTTTATGTGGATGAATCTGGCAATCCAGAATCTATTCGAATTTGTGATTTTGGCTTTGCCAAGCAGCTAAGAGCAGAAAACGGCCTTCTCATGACGCCTTGTTACACTGCAAATTTTGTTGCACCAGAGGTAATTATGAAATAGTTTGCTTGTAGTATCTCAGTATAGTTAAAAACTCATTTGTGGTATTTAATATAGAATGATTAATAGTTGTTTAGCCGAAGACTTACTGATCAAATAATTAAAATAAAATAACAGCCCTTTTTCTTCTGTTAATACTGTAGTTCATTCTGTCATCAGTCCACTACTACCTATAATCCCCTTCCTGTGCTGACTTGTGTCTTTCTGTATAATGAGACATCTATAACTGTCTATTACCACTAACAATATTGTACATGTTGGTGCATGGAATTAAATGGAAAGTAGCTTATTTTCCACCTTTCCTAATATCCTCCTAATTTCCTGGCTTTGTCACTGTCTTCCTTTATCTCCGAGGCTAGAACATCATAGTCTCTTGTCCTTAGCTGCATACCTAGTTACTATCTCTGTTATTCCCCAAAACCAGTTCACAGTTCTTCTGTTCACAGAACTGCCACCCTATTTCCTATTTCCCTCATCTCCCTCCAGATGACTGCCACAGCCTACGTGCACATTGCTCCCTCTTGTTGTACTGCGGTCCTTCCACAAGAGAGCTGCAAAGCTACTGAACTCTTCTTTAAACACTGCTTTGATCATGTTGCTTCTTTTCTTAAGAAATTGCAGTTCTCCATTGTAGTAAATCTAAAGTCCACTGCTTTGCCTTCAAGATTTCTTACCTTTTATCACTACATAAAAAAAAAGTAACTATGAACAAGATATTAAAAAATAATAGTAAACCTTGATATAGGACTTATATGCCAGGCTTATATACTAACTGATTTCATCCTCACAACATGTAGTTTACATATAATAATTCATTCTCATTATAACTATGTGAGGCAAGTACTTTTATTAGCATTTTACAGGAAACCAGATACACAGTGAGAGGTTATGTAATTTGCTTGAGGTCAGTCTAGATTTGAGCCCAGGCCATCTGGCTACAAAGTCTGAGCTTTTACCATGCGCTGATATTTCACAAAAACAGTAGTAGTTGGTAATGTTAGGATAGTTGGGTTATAGAGTTAAATTCCCCCTTTACTTTTTTAAACTTTTTGTAATTTTGCTACTTTTTATTTTTTTAAATCAGTAATTTTGCAAATTGATTTTCTTTGTTCGGAGTTTTCTTTTTATTCTATTTTTCTTTCCATTACCATTTAGTCCCCTTATACCTCCTTCCCCACCACAATCAGCACACTGTTGTCCATGTCCATGAGTCCTTTTTCCTTTTTGCTCAATCCCTTCACCCCTTACCCTTGCCCACCAGCTGTCATCCTGCCATCCTGCTCTCTATTTATGAGCCTGTCTCTATTTTGCATGTTAGTTCAGTTTGTTCATGAGATTCCATATATGAGTGATTCTATTTCATATGGTATTTGTCTTTCTCTGACTGGCGTATTTCACTTAGCATAATATTTTCCAGGTCCATCCATACTGTCACAAAAGGTAAATTTTTCTTCTTTTTTGTGACCGAGTAGTTATTCCATTGTGTAAGTGCTCCATAGTTGTTTTACCCACTCACCTACTGATGGACACTGGGGCTGCTTCCATATCTTGGCGATTGTAAATAATGCTGCAATGAACATGTTCTTTCAAATTAGTGTTTTGGGTTCCTCCGGATGTATTCCCAGAAGTGGGATCATGGGATCACTGGGTCAAAAGACAGATCCATTTTTAATTTTTTGAGGTTTCTCCATACTGCTTTCCACAGTGGTTGCATTTTTTTAATCATCACCCTGAGGATATGCTTATGATTTTTAGAGAGAGAGGAAGGGGAAGAGAGAGAGAGATCAATTGGTTGCCTCCATATGTGCCTCAACAGGGGGTCAAACCCCGATTAAACCTTCAACGTATGTATGTGCCCTGATCAGGAATCGAACCTGCAATGTTTTGGTGTATGGGACGATGCTCCAACCAACTGAGCCATACAGCCTGGGAAGATATAAAATATTTTTATAAGACTGCTTGCATCTATTCTACTGGTGGTGGTAGAACTGATAAGGAACAGATTTTTTTGCTTATTTGTCCGCATATCTACAGCCTCTGACACACATTGGTGTCCGAGCATGACCACTTAATCTAGCCACCTCATTTTCCCTTGTGAGTATTTCCTACTTCATGCAAGTAATCTGCTTCTAGAGGTCACCCTGTAGCTGGTATGCCTTGGCCCATTGGAATGTTTTTCACTTCAAAGCCTGCCTCCAAATTCATCTTCAGGATATCTTCCATGATTAAACTCTCCTTAGACTTGATCTTTTAATTTTTTGTCTCCTATTCTCCATTTAGTCATCCAAGTCCAAACTTTCAAATCTTCCTGAAATCTTTTTACATTCAGCCTGTCACCAAATTCTTCTCATTTTGTTTTCTAAATATTTTAGAACCTTTTCCCTTTACCCTATACATTCAGTCTCTAATAGTGCAGGTCCTCACAGCCTTTCACTTACTAGTTCCCTACAGATTGCTTCCTATCGGGTGGCCTTGTCTCCACTCTCTGTTTTTGCCAGCATTGGCTCTATACCTTGTGTTATGTTTGAGTTGAGTTATACACATCTACTTATTTTATTTTCCTGTTTAATGCATCAGTGACATCTGATTGCCTGCAGAAAAAAATGTAAATTCCTTAACAACGTGTATAAAAGTCCTTCAATCTTTCTAGTATCTCCTACCTGGAGATCTGGCCATGTAAAACTGTCACTAACTACTCGTATGCTCTGCTCTCTTGCCTCTCCCCTCCCCCACTCTCCTTTGCCTCCTGAATTCTTACCTATAGGAACAGTACAAATAGGCTGTCCTCTAGCCTTCCTTCTTTCCTCATATCAGGAATAAATTGCTTCCTCATCATTATACCCATAGCACTTTAGACATACTTTTATGAGACTTAATCATGTTGACTTGTTAACTACATATACAGAGTGGGGCAAAAGTAGGTTTACAGTTGTGAGTATGCAAAACACAGTTTATTCTTATATGATTATTTATTAATTATTGTATTATTTTCCATGCAAACAACTGTAAACCTAATTTTGCTCCTACCCTGTATATATATATATTTCCCCTACCAGATTCTGATTTTCTTAAGGAAACCAGAGTTGTTTTGTATTTCTCACAGTTCATGCTTGATTATAGCTGGTGTTTATTAAATTTTTTACACTATATTATTTGTACCATTATATGCATTCTTAAAAATACCATTTTATGTAACCATTTCTGTAGCCCCACACAAAATACACATTCATTTATCAATAAATAAGAAACCTTCAATTTATTTTATAGTCCTTTATGTGCCAAGGCAGCATTCAATAAATGTTCGTTCAAGTACTAAAATTTAAATTTTTATATATATATACATATATATGAATATATGAATGAATCGTTAGCAGGAGGTTCTAGAATGGGATTAATATATTTTTTATTGTATTTTTTCCAATATATTGTTTTGTTTGTTAATCATCTTCTGTTGAGTGTTTTCTTACATTTAGGAGATATAATGCCATTCCCACAACCTATGTAAATCTATATGATAAACAGTGGTGTGTTAATATTAATTTTTACTTTTTCTAGGTTTTGAAACGACAAGGTTATGATGCTGCTTGTGATATATGGAGCCTTGGTGTCCTCCTCTATACAATGCTTACTGGGTAAGTGTATACTATATGTTGTAAGCACTTATTCTTCAACATTTTGTTTATATTATCTAGGTGTATTTTTAATCTTTGTTGTAATATCTTTTCATGTTTCTCATTTTTCAATAATACATCATGTGTATGCATATATATACCACATTTATAGCTATATCATTACTAATTTTCTATAACGTACTACTTATTAATGTCTCAAAGTCTTAAGTTGATTTTTCTGTACATTTTTTCACTCGTTTTGTCATAAACATGCACTATTTTAAATATAATGTTTCATATCTTAAAGTATTCATATTTTTGTACAGTCTAATTAATATTTCACAACATACCTTGACCTGATGCTTTATGAAGCTTCATGTTGTGGACAGTTTTCACTTTAAATAAAGTATTATATTAATTGAATCACTCAGAGTACTTTTAGACACTGCAAATAAATAGAAAGATTACCAACCAACAAAGAATTTTTTATCCATTGACATTTTAATTTTCCTATAAATTAGTTACACTCCATTTGCAAATGGCCCTGATGATACACCAGAGGAAATATTGGCACGCATCGGCAGTGGAAAATTCTCACTCAGTGGTGGTTATTGGAATTCTGTTTCAGATACAGCTAAGGTAATTTTTCATAATCCTTGGTGAGAATAAATAATATCAACTAGAAACTTGTTCATAAAGTAGTATTTTGAAATGATGTTACCAAATAATATGAACTCAAAAATAGACCAGTTATTTTATTTCCCAGAGGCATTGGTTTGGCTTTATTACCTATACATCCTTTAGATGTATACATCCTCTAGATGTGTAGATAATGTGATATTTATCATGAAGAACATGATAAATAATGGTGGTAGTCTTCATGATATGTGTGTCTACTCTGTGCTTCCTGCTGCACTTCACCTAAATTATCCATTTAATCCTCTTAACAACCCTGTAAAATAGGTCTGGTATCCCCATTTCACAGAAGGAAACCATAGCCCAGAATTTTAGTGTGAAATTGCCCATAGTTAACACCCCAGGTACCTGTGGGCACTTCATAATAAACAGTAGTATAGTTTTAGTGCCAGCCTGAAATCCATTTAAAAAGCCTTTCTCACTGGAAGATCTGATATCCTCTGAATAGCACTGACTTGTTTTCTACCTTGACTCTAGTTTTACTCTATTCATTGAAAATTCTTTTTTTTTCTTTCCTTCTTTTTTTTTTTGCCCTGGCTGGTGTGGCTCAGTGGATTGAGTGCCTACCTGCAAAACAGAGGGTTGCCAGTTTGATTCCTAGTCAGGGCACATGACTGGGTTGTAGGCCAGGTTTCCAGTTGCAGGGGGTGGGAAGGGCAGCACACGAGAGGCAGCCACACATTGATGTTTCTCTTCTTCTCTTTCTCCCTCCCTTCCCCTCTCTCTAAAAAATAAATATATAAAATCCTTTTAAAAAATTCTTTTTTCCACTTCAATTTAAGAAAAACATAGAGGAATCGAAGAAGATACATACTGGTAAAAGTGCTTGCTGATTTTTCTTAGAGGTAGAAACTTGAGTTGCTGTGATTGCATAAGTAAATAGGGTATGGCAAAATTTATGTAGATACTTTTGGCCTCAGCTAATCAGTTTAATGTCTGTGTAGATAATGTTTGGTTTTATAACTGCATTTAAAATGAAATGTTAGCCTTTCCTTTTTTTAATAAAATTTATGAAACCAGATAATTCATTTTCTTAGGTACTTGTTTCCTTTTTAATTCATGTATTGAGCACCTACAATGTGCTTCATAAGTGAAGGCTCCAGAGATAAAAGATAAGACTCAGAATTCCTGATCTCAGGGAGCTCATGGGCTAGTTGGGAAAAGGCCAACTAGTGTCACATATGTTGTTATGGTGGCACGTTTTCTGTGCTTAAGGAGTTCACAGATGAAGCTCGGTCAGAAAGATTTCAAGGAAAGTTTTCCAGAAGCATTGAAGGGATTTTCCAGGTAGCTTTGGAGAACAGAAGGCTATCATCCATCCTATGCTGAGGGATTAGCACATGTGTGGCCATAATGGCACAGGAAAGGCAGAACGTCTCCAGGGAGCTACGAGGCTACGAGTAGTTTGATATGACTAGTACAGGGTACAGTTTAATAGGGGAGCTGATGAACCCAGATTATGAAAGGCTTTCTGGGTCATACTCGGGATTTGGTATTCACTCTAGGTATTGGGGAACTATTGAAAAATATTAAGCATTATAGTGATCATATTTTCCTTTTTGAAGTTCACTCTGTGGAGCAGTTATTTGTACCCCTGGAGTTTGCCACAAATTTTGTCATGATTGGTTGTAGGGCATGTCAAGTAATGTTACCAAGTAAAGTATCAGAGTTTAGCCATTGCCTGCTTTTTTAACAAGTTAAAGCAAGTCAAGGCTATCTCTCTATTTCTATAGAGAGGCTAATTTCTATAATTTGGTTCTCATTCACTTGCATTCCAGTATGCTTTTTTTAGTGAAAGAAAAACACTAGTGAGGAGTAGATACAGCTAGAGCACAACAAATTGCATCCATTTCACAAACTATCTTATAAATGGCCTCATTATTACTAATAATTTTTGCTAATTTTTCCAGTTAAAATTCGTAGTTACAAGCATGATATAGTGAATACCCACAAAATTGGGAGAGAGGAGTGTCGGTCTGGCATGTCCTCTCAAGAGCAAGTTGCACATGTGAATGTCATCAAGCATATGAACCATATGTGGCTTTGACAAGAATAGGACCATAGCTACCATTTTGAGCCCTTACGTGCCAAGCACTGTGCTGACACTTTTACCTGCATTATTTCATTCAGTCTCACTGACCCAATGTTAGGGACATCACACATAAGGTTTTGCAGTATTTTGGGTCATGAATGATGAGTATCTAAACCAGAACAGTTGTGACATTGGGATTTGAGCCAAATGAAAGACAAATTTAGGAGGCAGAATAGACTCTGGTTTATTGGACATAAGAAGCAAAGGAGAAGCTGGCATCAAGCATGTAGTCCACATTTCCACCTCAGGCAAATGAGTGGGTGGTAGTGTCCTTCGCCAGGATGTGAAATACAAAAGAAATAGTTTTGATAAGAGTGATGATTGCAGATTGGGACATTATAAATTTGAAAAGCTTCCATGATGTATAATTAAGAGATGGATGTCCACTAAGCAACTGGCTGTATGGATGTAGATCTTAGCAGAGAAGTCTGCGGTAGACACTGAAATTAGAACTTGTCATTATCCATAGTAGCTAAAGCCATGAGTAAGAATGAGCTTATCTGAGCAGAGCGATAAGAGAGCCAAGGAAGGAATTCAGGGAGCACCACCACTTAAAGAGAAAGCTTAGGAGGAGTAGCCATTGAAGGGTAGCAGTTGGAGAAGTGATTCTAAGTGACTTGGCCAAGGTGCACTGGTTAACACAGAGATCTGATTAAAATTATAATAGAGTTGCATCGTGTCTCAGGGCAGTTTTGCAACCTTTCTTCATTTAAAGAACATTTGCCCACATTCAGAATTTGGAGGAGGAGGTCCCTAATTGCTTTGCTTTTTATTTCTAATTCTGTTCAGTTATTCCTGCTCTTAGCTGTTAATGATAACTGAAAGTAAGAAACTATAAATACTAATAGCAGAGGAGTACTTGCAGTAACATCTCCCCAATTCCCAATGTCCAATCAACCACCAGATTCTGTCAGTTCTTTCTTTTAAGTATCTCAATTCCATCCATATTTCTCCATCATTTATACCCACCCCCCGAGCTGTTGTCTCTCGCCAGTCTCAAATTGGAGTCTCCAGGCTTGCCCCCTCCAATCCATTTTCCTCCACACCTAGGGAGTGTAATCTCTCTAAAATACAAGACTGACCACATCACTTCCTTGCTTTAAATGATTCATTGCCTCCAGAAAACATCTAAATTTGCTAATATGGCTTATTAGGGCCTTTCATGGTCTGGTCCCTTCTTACCTCTGTCACTGTCTGCTGCCATGTTCTTCACGAGATATGCTGTAGCTGTATTGCATTTCTTTCAGTTCCTTAATGTGACATGTTCTCTCCCACCTGAGGACTTTACCTCAGATATACTTTGCTCTATCTCCTTGAAATGCTCTGTTTCTCCCTTCCTTCTGTAATTCAGCTCCTGCTTATCGTTCAGGTCTCACACTTCTCTGAAGGAGCCACTTCAAAGCCACCGTACCCTGTTCAGGTCATACCTCTGTGTTCCTCCAGCTGCACCTCGCATTTATTCATCCCACGAAAGAACTTACTATTTGCTTTGTAATTAATTCCCTCTCTGGGTTGAAAGCTTCCTGAGGTCACAGTTCCTTTCTACCTTGTTCACTGTTAATTACCCAATGCCTAGCAGGATGCCTGGCCTTTAATGGATACTCAATAGATCTGTTTTGAATGAAAATGAAACAGATGGTACATGGCTTTTATAAATCACAATTGTGTTATTTTGGAGAGTATAAAACTACCATATTGCAATTGTATGGATCTATGTTTCCTGCATAGCAAAGCAAAGCCTTTGGATAGATAGAAAGCATTTGTCTCTGCAAGAGTAAGATTCTGGGTGTTCTTTACATTCTTTTGCTTCTCTGTATTTCTGATTTTTCTATAATACCCATGAGTTGCTTTTGAAGTAGGAAAAAAACATAATTCTGTAATCTTGGGAGGGGCATTTAGAGCTCTCCAATTAAATTCCTATAATTTGACAGTTCTGCTTCTGGGTATTATTAGAAGCACAAAAAAGTCTTAAGTGACTAAAAATTACTTAGAAATAATCCTACAGAAATGTGGAAACCTTAGAATATCTAAGGGAAAGAAAGAGCCAAGAAAAAAATAAGATACATAAAATATGGTAATTCACCCTTTGTAATGCACCAAAATTATTGTTACTCAGGGAAGAGAGACTTGGTTTTTGCCTTTAAAAAAAAACAAATTGTTATGTTGACCAAACTGCTTTGAGCCTAAAGGTCTACCTATTACCAGGGAAAAATAGTGTCAGAGTAAGGAAAAATGCTCAACAGTATCTAGTGATACAAAAAAAATTAAACAAAAAGGTTTCAGTTTGTTTTATTATTACTCTTCCCATTATAGGACCTGGTGTCAAAGATGCTTCACGTGGACCCTCATCAGAGACTGACTGCTGCCCTTGTGCTCAGACACCCATGGATAGTCCACTGGGACCAACTGCCGCAATACCAACTGAACAGGCAGGATGCACCACATCTGGTCAAGGTGAACGGTCCCATTCAGGCCCTGTTTTCCACATGTCCACAAGCACCTTTCCCTTTCACTTTCCTTCAGCCTGCATTCAGTTCTCCTGTGGGATTCTCTTACAGTGGGTGCTTTAAGGGGGTGAGGGGGTGGGGAGTCAAGCCATGCCGAAGTATTGTAATAAATCTAGTTTAAGAATGACTTCTAAATTTCTGAATTTATCCACAAGCTTATGGATTTCCTATTTTCTTTTTTAAATATATTTTGCAAGTTTTTTAAAAGATTTTATTCATTTTTAGAGAAAGGGAGGTAGAGAGGGAGGGAAACATTGATGTACAAGAGATCTATCGATCGGTTGCCTCTTGTATGTCCCCAACTGGGTCCTGGCCAGCAGCCCAGGCACGTGCCCTGACTGGGAATGAACCAGCAACCTTTTGGTTCACAGGCCGGCACTTAATCCACTGAGTCACACCAGCAACCAAGGATTTCCTATTTTCTCTATACTTGCCTTTCTCATGCACAAGCCAAAGCAAACTACAGATTCCGAAAGAGCATGCTTTGCTGCCTCTCAGATTAAAAGATGGCAAAAGGAAAAAAAGTTGAATAGTCCTGAGGAAAGTGAGGACTGCTTGTTATGAGCCCATCTCTATCCTCTCTCATCTGGCACTCAACATCCCACATTGGCCTCTTCAATTTCAGTTAAATCAGAGTTTTTGGCCAATGTGGTTATTTTTATTATGAGCCTCATAGTATCTACATACAGTTGCTATTGATGAAATTATCTGGGGGGAAAAAATGTCCATTTCATGTTCTGTGTATGTCATTTTTGTTTTGACCTTTCTTTCCTGTTTTCAGGGTGCCATGGCAGCTACATACTCTGCTTTAAACCGTAATCAGTCCCCAGTTTTGGAACCAGTAGGCCGCTCTACTCTTGCTCAGCGGAGAGGTATTAAAAAAATCACCTCCACAGCCCTGTGAAGTGACCTCAGTGAGATACAGAATTTGGTACCATGGTGTAAGCTGATAGCACAAGTGGTGGCGACAGGTAGCACATATCTGAAAGACACCTGCAAGCACACACTGTCCCAGCTGGTACCCATAATGCTGCTGCTCCTGCTGCTGCTCCCGCTTTCGTCTCTTCTCGCTTTACATGATTGTTAGCAAGTTAGATTTTCCTGGAGCTTCGGATGTGATGATGATGGAAACGTGACGAAGATATATTCACTGAAACAATAAGAAGAATAATGAACATATGAATACCACCTAAAAATACACTGAATAAAGTACTTTACACCATATAGCATTATTTTTATAGGAAATATTTCATGTTCCTTAAATATTCTTTGTTAGTTATAGGGATGGACAGTTTATGTTAAGCACTTAGCTTAAACAATACGTTTATATTAGCACTGTATCCCTTGTGCCATCCAACATTTTGTATGTTTTTGTAAACAGTTCATATACAGTACATTTCTGTACTGCTTTCTTTAATGTATACATGCCTTGTTTAACTTGGATTCTATTATTATTAATCAGTTGACTATTAAATCTGGTTAAATAGTTCACCTGTATTAACAGTATTGTTGGACAGCCCTAAAAATGGCCAGATTGTGGAACAGCTGTTGAATGTAATGCTTCCAAAATGTACATATCTTTCCCTGTGTCTGTTTCACTGGTTTGTTCATTTGTTTGTTACTTAAAGTCAGGTGCTCTGTGAGACTATCCTAGAGAGCTGTTACAGTAGGGAAGTTATGTCTGTGGCATGACATCAAGAGTATACTATGAAGTTAGTCCGTACACTTCACAACTCTTTAGGGTTCTTTTCTCTTTAATTAAGGAAGTAGTTCTTGCACTTCTGATCTTCAATAGTGTCCATATTTAGTATTGGCATATAATTTGGAATACTGCCAATATGCGGCCTATTGAGAGTCATGGTGAAGAGATTGGCAAAGGAAAATGTGGCAACAGGTCATTTAAGTCCCATTGTGTATCTCATGTTTAAATAGATCAAATTACAGAATTTAGCATCTGAATAACAGGATACCTGTTCTAGTATACCTGGGAGAAAAGTATGCTTTTCTTGAAAAATGGTAAACCATAATGAGTTTTTTCCCATTACAATGCTCTAAATTAAACACTAATTTGAATGTAATAAAAGCCACAGGCCACTATATAAAATTGGATTAAAACTTTCTTATTCTAGGGAATAAAGCATTCTTGATCAGTCTCTGTGCTAACCTAAAATCATAGCTAAGACAGGTTAAGTGAATGTCTAGCATTGAGTGTTTTCTGAATCCTCCTGATGATTTATAGCCATGTAATACTTCCTTTAACTTCAGATATGATCCGTTTTCATGATGGTCACTGAATCTGCCTAGATTACAGTATTCATTATATACATCTAATGTGGTAGTTTCCATAATTTTATTTGATTAAAGGAATTTCTGTACCCATATTATGACCTGTATCTTTACCAAGTTACCTAGCATACATCAATATGTAATGTGAAAAACAGTTAAGCAAGGAAAAAAAGATTTAACTTACCTCATCAAGAATGTGCCCAAACAGATATTCCTTCGTCACGTACTAAGCCATTTACATCAGAAAAAGGTTTCCTTCCAGAAGCTTTAAATCTTTCCCCTGAAAGTACAAAGCCAAGAAAGTGTGGTTTATCTGTCCTGTAAGCCACTTGTTATTCCTTAATTTCTTCTCTATGCAATTAAAGAGAAAGGGAAAATCTATAACATTCCTTTTGCCCAAGTGACAAAATGATTATTGCATAGAAATCAAATGTAAGTTTATCTTTAAAAAATGTGTAGGAGGAGGGATTTTAGAAGATGCAGATGGAGAAAGTTTTTAAAATATGTATATGCATACTTTCCATTACCTGGAAAGAAAGCTTCCCCTCCCTCTCTTTCTATTATTCAGTGTTTTAAACCATGGTCATCCCAAATTCTTGTCACTTTTAAAACGTTAATGTAACTCTGGGCATATAGTTTCAGATTTTTGACACTGATGCTATTTCATAATTGCTTAGGTATATTTTCTGTCATAGTTTTTTTAGAACCAGAAGTAAATGTTTAAATCCTCATGTAATCTAGCCCAACTTTCTCATACTACATGTGAAGAACCTGTGACTCAAAGCAAAGACTAGAATCCTTAACTTTCCATTCAGTTTTTTTTCCCCATAGCACCATGCTGCCTTCCCTTCAGATTATCACCCAACCAGGAGCTGAGTTGTTTAAAAATTACATATTTCTTGTGGCACTCCTCTACTGGTATATGAATGCCAAGTTTATTGCTTTCAAAGATACTGCTTTCTTTGCCTAGTCCAACTGCCAGTTTTATTGGAGAAAAGCAAGTTATATGTTTATAAAATTGAAAGCTTTCTGCCTAAAAAGCAGTTCATGAGCACAATTTATCTTATCTGTGGGTCTGGTGTTCTATTGCCTTTGACTTAGAGCAGACAAATTTGGCCAACAGTGTGTTCTAAATGAAGCGCTAGTGCTGGGCTAACCTTTCCTTAATTCAAGTCCAATTCTTCCAAGCCTCTAAAGTTGTGGTAGTGAGGCCCTTCCCCAGTTAGTGTTGCTGGTTACCAGGGCTTCTCCCAGGAGGTTTTAGTTCAGGGTTAAAGATAATTCCAGTGTGAAAAGGAACTGAACTACTAGGCCTCATTCACAAACCTCCTCTTAGCTTATAATCCAAAATAATATCCAAAATGATAAATTGCATTTAGCATTGCAGTGGGCATACTGGAATATACAGGTTATACTACCATGTGTTTTGTATCTTCCCTTACAAGTGATGATGGTTAAACTAAGGTAAGTTTTTTGTCCTTTTAATTTTTTATATAAATTACTTCCACTCCTAATTTGTAGAGATGCCTTCTTTCAAAGTACAATAGACCCTTTTCTTTAACAGATTTAATAATGGATTCTTTTATTCACAAGCAACCCCAAAAGTCCAGAAAATGTAATAATTTTGACAAGGCAGAATGAGATGCCGTGAAGCTGACAGGTGGGAAAAGTCACTTAGTGAGTGTCTGGACAGGATGTGGTGTGTGTGTGGCAGAAATTCCACATTTCACATGTGGTGGGCTGCAAAGAACGGGTTTGGGTCAAATGTTTCCCATGTATTTTTAAAAAGCGGTTACTGTTGGGGCCAGGGGACATCATGGGGGTGGGGTTGGCCTGTTAGCTGTGCCCTGCACTCTTGGCCCAGGAAAGACTTGAAGGGGAAGAGGGGTGCAAAGGCTTCACAAGTAGGCAGAATAGTTTGGTTAGGAAAGGGGCTGGGGTAGGTCCAGCCTGGGATGAAAGCAGAAAAACATGCAAGAGTTGGGGGCCTTGATACAGATATGCTTAATCACCGTGGAAGCCAGCAATATACATCTCAACATGGCTTTGATATTCCCTGCTTCCCTGGCCTTTATAAATGTCCTAAAATTTTTCAGTTTCCTTTACTATATTTTATAGAGAAAATTCTCTCTTCTGATGGTATCAGGCATTTGAGATTTATGAAGACATTGGACAGATATCTCAGGAATGTGAAAGGTCAGAAAAGGTCTGCTCTATCTAACATGGGTTTCATGGCTGACCCTTGGTGCTTAAACCAGGAGGTTCCAATCTAGTCTTAGAGTTTTGTCCCTCCGAAAGGTCCAACTCCATGTGACTAACAAACTGGATGTATATTTTGAGCTTTATTTAATTCACAGAGAGGTTGACTTAACTCAGTATTTTTATTTCAATAAATGAAAATAGTCCTCTTTTCACCTCCAGATTGCTTACATTTTGCTGGTCTCCCCAAGTGACCATTGGTGGGGGCCAATTAATGAAGGAATGAAATTCGCTTTCTTGGGACTGTGGTATTCTGAAGAGCCATGCTTAACCACTTTTTCTAGCGAAGAATCTGCAGAACGATAATACCTAAGTATGGATGGCCAAGAAGAATTTGTATCTACAGTGTGCTTTATGTATTTTTGACACTGCTGTATTCTGTGTGATCGAGTGACTTGTAACTGGTTCCAATGTGAGTGTTCTCAAAGAATTCTAGTAACTAAGTTGACTTAATTTTCTTAAGCCTTGTATTACTATTAGTCTCACATTTACCACTTTGATTCCAGTCTATTAACTGTTCATAACAGGGCATACAAAGGGTTGGGATAAGAGCCTACTTCCTACCTCTTAAGGCACTTTCCTCATTGTTTTTCCATGTAACCTTGAAGTGCATGATAAGCTGTTGAAATGTCCATGACTTCTCCCAATGCAACTAGCAAAGTATATGACATTGAATAGAGATTAGTGAAAAGGAAAATTTAGAGACTTAAGTTCAGAAGCGCAAACCTCAAGAAAACCTCTTTAGAGCACATACCATTTGAGTACAATATATGTAAACGTATGTGAGAAGAAAGTTGCTATAATAGTCTTCTCAGTAGATTAGTTCAATATCTAATGGAAGTGAAAATCTTTACTCCTATTATCACTATAGTACTGAATGAACTGTGTACTGAGTTTTTCAAACAAGTATTTAAAGTAGAACTTTTAAATACAAAGCAAGGGCATAAGGATAAAGGTTTGAGTTTGTGTTTCTCTAACTATATTGTTTCATCTAAGCTTTGTTTTTTTAATCACAAAATGCTTCAAGGTATTGCCATTTCTTAGCATCCTTAATAATTATGGGTGATGAGTTTTTAATTCTTAAAATCATGTACATGTATTAGGTTTATCTTAACTCTTACCCTACAGATGGGAAAGTATCCGGTATACACCTAAGGGATGTAATTATTTTGAATTTTTGGCCATGGGTGGGAAGGGGGTGGGCATCAACTTAAAAACAGTTTTTAAAAAAGAAAAAAATCACAAATATTTTTCTACTATTATATATGATCTTACTTTATACTAGTTTCTCTCTAGTAAGGCATGCCAGAAGCCCAAGCTACCATATCATCAGTTCATATGTATTGTACCTTTTATTGATGGTTAAATCGCATCAGATGCTTGGCACTGCTGCCATAATTATGAAATGCTTGTAAAGGATTAAATATCACTGAATACTTTAAATTGTTTTACTTAAGAGTCTAATCTGGGAAATTTTCAAATAATACTATTAATGTGTAATCTAAGCTCTTTCAGATGTATCCATGAATAATCCTGGAACAATATTGCTTGTATTCCTGTCACAGAACAGGTTTTGTAATGTTTAAAAGAAATGAAAATTTATATAATAAAGTTTCAAATAAATGCATGCATGTTCCTGTATCAGATTATTTTAGTTACATGATTAAGCCTTTGCATTATCAAATTCTATCCAAAGTATAAATTTATCAAATTGAATTGGTAGAACTTAAAACGGGGATATTTCTGAGTCAACAAGAAGTACAAACTAATTTTTCCATGCAAAGTTTTGGTTAGACAAAAGATTTTGTCAAATCAGACTCATATCAGTCATAGATCTTACCCAATATCAAATTTGATTAATCATTCAAAGGATACAGGGTAATCCCTAGGCACAGGTGAAAATCTTTTCTTGGAGAAGTCCAAGTTTATCAGATTAAGCTCCAAAACAACCTTTTTCTCCCTCATTATGGTACATTGTGGATTGAGTCAGAATAAAAGGACAAGTTTCCTTCTGAGTTACAAATGCGGAGACATTGTTTAAACAAAAGGAGTCGTTTGGTTTTGCAACATTCCCTTTTTATGCCTCATTAATTACACAATTTAAATGATGAGCCCCCATTCTCCAGTCAACTATGCCTCCTAAGTCCATAAATTCCAGGTTTTACAATAAGATATCTCTATAAACCAAGTGTATCTTGCTAAAAAGCATTTTAGAGATAAGGACTGTACTTCTCTTTCTGCTAGTAAATATTAGCACATTTAAAAGGAAGTTTGGCTCATTGATTGCTGGTAGAGAAGTGAATCATAGACCTGCAGTTATCCCTTTCCTTCCCAGTAGACATTTTTAGTCATGCTACGACGATTTATTAGTTTGCTAGGGCTGTAATAACAGAACACAGATTGACAAGTTATTTTGTCACAGTTCTGGAGTCCAGTAGTTCAAGGTGCCAACTCTTTAAAAACCCTACCTCCAACATGCTAAACCCCTAATACCTCAGAATATGAATGTTAGAAGGACACAATTCAGCCCACAACACTGAATTTAGGTCTCCTCTCCCTCCCTTTCTTACTTCGTTTGTAATGAGCACCTACTGTGTGTCAGACATTCTGCTAAGTGCTGGCAATAGGAAGCAACAGATGGGGTCTCAGCCTAATAAGGTGTACAGTGAGGTAGGGAAGACAGATATTTATAAAGTAATAACAAGTGTCATGCAGATAATTACGCTTTGGTAATGGGAATGGCAGGAAAGCCTTGCTGTGCCCCTCAGATTCCCAATTTGGTAGGCTGGGTGTAAGAGCCCCATTAAAACAAGCGTGAGATTACAATTGATGAGTCAGCTGCTCAAACCCGGAGAAGCTGGTTCGTCACAAAGCAGAAGTCAAGTATCAGCCAGCAGCCGGTGCACTGTGAACACGCCTTTTACTAGGACGCCCGGGCCCCGCCCACTCTGACTCGGCCTCCTCCCTGCCAACGGCCCCGCCCCCTCTAGTGACCGCACTGGGAGTGCTCGTACCTCTGCTTTAACAATAGGAGTCCGTAGGACACGCTTGCGCAGAAAAGACCGGGGCCGGGGGGCGGGGGAGGCGGGGGGCGGGCCCAGGCGGCGTTGGAGGGCGGGGAGAAGCGACGCAAGCAGACGCGACGCCATTTGCTGCGGCCGAGCGTGGTTGCAGGCTGATCTCGGAAGGGCTCGTCTGGGAGACTCTCCCGCGCACGCGACCCGTCCTCTAGCGCCTGCTTTGTACCGCGCGGCTCCACACGTCGCCTCTTCAGCCCCTTGGAGGAGTCGCCGCCGCCGCTATCGTCCGGATAGGAATCGGTAAAGCCGCGAGGCCGTCTTCACCGCCATGCCCAAGAATAAAGGTAATGCCGCCTGGACCCCGGCACCACGACTCCGCTCGCCCCGATCTTCCGGCCCTGCCTGGGGCTTCGGGATAGCCCAAGCCGCAGTGACCTTCTTCTCCACCCTGCCTGTAGGCGGCTGGGCGGTACGGGCGCGATTCTGAACGCGGGAGAGGAGCTGGGAAGTTACTCCAGTCTTCCAGTTTGGTCACATTGGGGTGGAGCCGACGCCATTTTTGTGGGGCCTCCTGTGGGAGAATGTGGGCTTTTGCGCCTCATTCGCGCCACAGTGACCGCGGCATGATGGGGACCTGTGGGGAGACCTCCCCTGGGTGGCTTAGGCTTTGCAAATGGACGTCCTCTGGCCTTCCCGGGCAGGGGGAGTTAAACGCTGGAAGCAGTTCTTAACTTTTGGAGGATGATGCTTGCTTTAGTGACCACCATCAGATACTCCTGCATGGGTTTCTTTATGGACAGTTGAATGTTGTTGAGACTACTCTCATGTAAACAGTGGGCAAAACCTGGATGTATTTCTGAGGTACATTTGTAGAGATTTACCCTTCCATATTCCCTTTACAGGGTTTAACTTTTTTCCTCCCAGAACACTTGTTTCATATTTAGCCAACTTCTTTACTTTTGTTTCAGAGCATGCATGCATGCGTGTGTGTGTGTAGGTACACAGACACACAAATACATAGTGCTGGGAGTAAAGACCTTTAAGTTCCCTCCATTCTGAAGTTAAACATTCACAAATTATCAGACTTGAGGATAAGTTTATTTGGAATTTCCAAAATAGAAAGCCTAATCTAGGTAAAAGCAGAATAGTACTAAAGAAATTATCCCTTTTTTAGGCGTAAGAGTGTTTCTGCTTTTTAAGCATCCTTATAATTTCTCAAAGGAAATTGTGCAAGTAGAAACTGGGAAAACTTTCTGACGGGAGAGGAGCATCTCTCAGAACCTACACGAAGTTTCCTTTCATTATTCATCCTGAAAGGCCCCCGTCCCCCACCGCCCTGACCTGGCCTACTTCTGTTCTCTTTTCTACTTCACAGCTGGCTCCAGGGATTCTTCCTCATTTCCTTTGTAGCTGTCACTACTCATTTTATCCCTCGGGATATTTGGTTGCTGTTCTGTGCAAAATTTGGTGCAGTTCCTTAAGTGCACTCTATTTTATTGCCCTTAGAAGTCTAACTTGTAGGCCTATTTAGTAGCAAGGATTTTGCTGCTAATTATTCTGGGAAAGATGGGGTGTTAAAATAGGGTTTTAAAAGTCATAGTTTTCTTGTAACCTGTGTAATCCTTTATTCCTTCTGAGATGGTAACTACATCACTTTAGTGGGTATCTTACTGTTTTTATAGCACAAGATTTCCAATTCCTTCACTAGACTATATGCTCTAAACAACAGTAAAATAGTACCTATCTTAATCACATTGGATTGCCAGCACTTGACACTTAGTAGATGCTCAATAAATATTTGTTGGGTTAAGTCACCCCCCTTATGTTGAGTCCACACTTAGGTGAATAATAGGTTCCCCTTTGGTTCCAAGGGGACAGGACTTCTGCATTAAATAACATCTAGTTCACTAACCTCTTTTAAAGGTCATTCCATTACATGGCAATAAAATAGAGAGGGGAGTGGTAAGGGTATGGTTATTTCTGGGAAATTAACAAGATGAATCACTTTTATAAATAATATTTGAGGGGTGCAAAAATTATAGATAATGCAGTGTATACCTGGGAATCTATTACTCTGAACTTGACAATTACAACACAGGTTCAGGTAAAGCCCTCTGTGTCTCCCTCCCCAATCTGCTTCCTCTTTCTGGAGATAACCACCATTCTGCACTTAGTATTCATTGTTCCTGTAAATGTTAAAACAGTCAGTTATCTTACTTGTTCTCTTAAAGGACTAGTTCTTTTCAAGACCCCTGCATTTTATGAAGTGAAGTTTAATGTAGAAATTATTTGTTTTGTTTATTGGAAAAGCGAGAAGCCCTGTGAATATAATCTTGATGATGGTTATACAAGTCAGGATATAAATTGCCATGAACTGTGTGTCAAAAGACTTTAGCTTTGGACTTATCGTTAGTTTATTTCCTCTAGATTCTGTCAGCTTATTACCTTGGAGAAAAGGGGTATCCTTTGGTCCATTCAGAAGAGCATGTAGGGTAAGGTGCTCCCACATTTTGAAGACATTGCTACCTTCGATTTTAAAATCACAACATTCATTTAGGAATATAGGACTACTCTTGACTGATTTATTCAAAGAATTGCCAGGTCAGGTATGTAACTCAGCAAACAAACTAGGTGTGATTCTTGCCCTAATGAAGCTTTCACTCTAGTTTAAAGATCTGGCATGATTAACAGCTTGAAGCAGAAGCTACTGTTCTCTTCCTAGGAAATTAGTTTTGGCGTGCCCTGAGTATGCCTCAGATACTAAATTCTAAGGACTCTGGGTGGGTCAGGAAGTTGTAGAGGGCCACCTAACAGTTGCACAGAGCATTGTGAGACTGCACCCAGGGTTAAGTGCACTTGATGCAAGAAGTTAAGTGTCTGTCTTTCGTGGCCAAGGGCACATTCTTTATTCTGTTTGGACTGTGAACTTTTTGCTGCTTTCACACTCTTTGTATATGTCCCTTAGTGTCACTACCACTTACAGTCATTTTTGGAAATGGCTGCCAATGTGTCTTAGGTTCTAGAATGGGAACAAAATGCTGTGGAAAGTTACCCTACTGTGGAGGCCAGGAACTAAAGGTTAGGTTTGAATCTGGTCGCCCACACTCATTGCCTAATGTTAAAGTAGTTACTTCTCTGAACTTGGATGAACTCACTGGTAAACCGGTGGTAAATGACTTATGACCTCATGAAGTGATTGTGACAAGTAAATGGGTGGCATTGTATGGTGGCTAAGAGAATAGTCACTGGGGTTTCGTATTCCCAGATCTCAGGTCACATGATAACAGCCTCAGAGAAGTTACATAACCTTTCGAGGTGCATTATCTTGTGAAATAAAGGTAAATTAGTACCTATCTCATCGGCATAGATTGTTGGGGGTGAGTTACCAAAACAGCGAGTAGTCTACTTCGATTGAAGCATTAGGTAAGAGAAGTATTGAGAGGTAGGTTGATGTCATGTTTATAGGTTGAGAGAATTATATTCTTTAAGGTAGTTATGGTGCCGCTAACAGAAACAAGCATGTTGATTAAGCACCGGACTTGTAAAAGAAAGTAAATGGACTTTTGAATAAAACTGAGCTTGAGATGACAGTACCCATTCGCTGGCAATATATTGAGCCATTAGAAATAGGAGACCAAGGCTTAGTTGAAATAGGTGGGCTGAGCTGTGAAATTAATCAGCATGGAAGTGATAGATGAGAGAAAAATAAATTTTCTGAGAGAGTGGGTAAGCAGAAGGTAGGAATTTGGGCTTAATTAAGCTCCAATGGGATAGACACAATGAAGGGGGGGGCTGGTGAAAGGTGAAGAACGGTGCAAGAGACCCTTTAAAAGTTGTCCAAAAAAGGGGAGTTGACAAATGATGAGCAGTATCACTGTTGAAAGTATGAAAAACGGAACGGGGGTGGGAAATGACAGATTTTGAAGGACAACAGTAGCTACAAGAGTTACAGAATCATAAATAGTAGGCAGCTGGATCTTCTGTTCTAACTCCCTCATTTTACAGAGGCTGAAAGAGATCCTGAGGGGGGTTTTTTGTGAAAGCTCCGTGTATCCTTTACTCCTCCCTCCCTCTATATCTGGTTACAATTCTTTTGTTTCTTCTCAGAAATATTCCTCTGAATAACAGTCCATTGTTTGGTAGTACCACAGTTTATCCATTCATCTACTGGAGGACACCTTGGTTGCTTCCCAGTTCCTTTCCTCCCGTGACTAAGCTCAGCCTGCTTCATTTTACGTGTAAGAAGGATAGCAGCCTTCCCACCAGTTTTCCCACCCAGAGGATCATGTCACGCCTCTGCTTTTTGTTGAAGTGTTTTTTTCTTAAAATTTTTTGAATTTTATGAGTCGATTTTCAAGAAGTATAAAAAAAATGAAATCTCTCTTCCTAAATGTGTCCCATTGCCAACTAGTTCTCTTTTCTCACAGGCATTAACTTTTTTTGTATATGCCCTTCCATGAGATTTTATGTATACATAAGCAGATATGAGTATGAATTGTTTTTACATTAATGGTGGCCTCATGCTCTTCACTGTGCTCTATTTTTAAACTTACAATAAGAATTTCGAATATGTACAAAAGTTGACTAGTGTAAGGAACTTTTATGTGTTCATGTGCTGGCCCCGGGTGCCATCAGTTCATGACTAAACTTGCACCATCCACACCAAATCAGGATCCAGAGATGGTCTACACATTGCCATTGGTTGAGATGTCTTTCAAGTATCTTTTAACCTGTCGGTTGCCCATCCATTTGTGTTTTCTTTTTTCCCCACAATGTGTCTATTGAAGAAAACAGATTGTCTTTTTTCTTTTTTTTTTTTTAACATTTTGGTTTTTAGAGAGGGGAAGAGGGAGGGAGATCAAGAAAGGGAAACATCAGTTAATCCATTGCTTCTCCACCACCGCAACTGGGGACCTGGCCCACAACCCAGGCATGTGCCCTGACTGGGAATCAACCGCCAACCTCTCATATCCATCCCACTGAGCCACACCAGCCAGGGTGAAAACTCTCATACAGTTGCCCCCACAATTTGGATTTTGCTGATTGCAACCCTTTTGCACCATGCTTTTTGTTGTTGTTGTTGTTGTTTTTTAATAGACTTTATTTTTAGAGCAGTTTTATATTTATAGGAAATTGAGCAGAAAGTACAGAGTTCCCATTCTCCCCTCCCCAACCGTTTTCTCTATTAACCTCTTTCATGAGCTAATCTAGATGCATCATTATTGACTCAAGTCCATAGCTTATATTAAGGTTGGTTCATTATATTGTACATTGGTGTGGGTTTTGAAAAATGTATAGTGACATGTATCCGCCATTACAGTGTGATACAGAATAATGGTTTCACAGCCCTAAAAATCCCGTGTTCCACCTATTCATCTGTCCTTCCTTCCTCCCTCCCAACTCTGTGCAACTACCAATCTTTTTACTGTCTCCATAGCTTTGTCTCTTCCAAAATATTACATAGTTGGAGTCATACCATTCGGCCTTTACAGATTGATTGGCTTCTCTTCCTGTAGCTATACACAGTTAAGGTTCCTCCATGTCTTTTAGGCCCTTGGTAGTTCATTTCTTTTTATTATTGCTAAATAATATTCCATTGTATGGATATACCACAATTTACTTGTTTACCTAATGAACAACATCTTAGTTACTCTCAGGTTCAGGCAGTTAGCACCTTGCTTTTTAACTTAAGATACCTTGCTCAGTGTATACTACAGCAATAGGATAAGATTCAAACTTAAAATTGCCAGACCTCTGGCTCTTTCTCCGTCACCACAAAATCGGTGTTTCCCATTCCAGTAACTATAACTTTACCTTTTTTCTTTTCTTTTCAGTCATCTCCTACTTGCACCCACACCTTTCATTGAGGTGCGGAGGTCAGGTACAACAGAAACAAGGCATTTTTATAAAATTTATCAAGACCATTATATCTCCCACCTTGTCCTGTGTGAGCCGCTGCAGGAGGGGTTTCCTGAGCAGTGTAGTCATCCGAGTGGTTGTTATTGTTATGATCCAGGGCAGTTTGATCATTGAATACGGATTTCCTCAGAAAGGTCTCTATATACTTTTATATAATACCTCTTTTGGTTTGTTTGTATTTTATGTCAGAAATATTCCAAAAGGAATTTCTAAGAAGAGTAGGGGAATAGCGATATGTATATGTTTGGTATGCTGGGAGATTGTAAATTTAATATGATTGTGCGACTAATAACTTAGGTGAATTTTTAAATTTAAGTGACTTTTTAAAAAACATTTTATAAGCCTTAATTTAGTTTAGTTTCTTTTCCTACTGTTTTGCAGATAATAATGCTTTTTCTTTCTTTAAAACCATTAGGTAAAGGAGGTAAAAACAGACGTAGGGGTAAGAATGAGAATGAATCTGAAAAAAGAGAACTGGTGTTCAAAGAAGATGGGCAAGGTAAGCATTTTCATAAGGTGGATTTCTTTTAGTAATAGTTTGGTTTTTTAAATACGGAATTTCAATTTCTAATCATAAAGGAGGTACTATTCATAATCCTGAGCAATGAATCACACATCCCTTTTTGCTCTTCTCCATTTTTCATCCCCCACACTTTTCCAGAGCCTTTGTTTTGGTAGTCATTTCTTGGTACCCTTGGTCTCCCTTGAGGATTGGCGGTGTTTCTGGAAATGTGTAGATTTCATTGTTTTGTCTGAACACTTATATCTTAGAATGAATTACACAGTTCAGAGGGAATTAAGCCTCAAAAGTGATTATGGACAATCCATGATTTACTAGACCTTTTTTGATAGTAAATGGTGCCACATAGTATGTGCCGTAGACCATGGATACTTGAGGGATGAATCTGAAGCCTTTCCCTTACTTCTCCGGTGCCCTTAGCATATAATTTCATAAAATACAATAAAATGAAACTGAACATTTTACTTAGCTTTTCAAAGGTAAGACTTTGTAAGTGCCAGACCAGGGTATGTAATACTAGTTTTTTGTGTTTTTATTATAAGTAATTTTATAGCTTCACATACGTTGCAGTATTTAGTACAATGAACTTCCTTTAAAGTACCCTTTATCTGGGTATTCGCAGTGTGTGTGTTTTTCCTGAAACATTTGAAAGTTAGTTGCAGACATCATGATACTTTTCCCTTACTACTTCATCATCTGTCTCTTAAGAACAGCTATATTCTCTTACATAATTAAAACAGAGCACTCAGATGATTTTGACTATATTATATATCCAGTATATGGTCCCTATTCAAAATTTTCCAGTTATCCCAAGAATTTCCAGCACTTTTTTTCCCAGAAATTTTAAACAAATTTTTTAATTACCTTTTTATAGAACTTTGGTGACTTGTTCATGCCATATAAAAGTGAAACATGTTTTCTGACTCTAAGAGGTCTTTTTTGTTTCTTAGCCTTAGGGTCATTCCTAGCCCCTGTTAGCAGTTGATTTGATTTTGACCACCACTTTGGAAGAGAGACCATCTTTGAGTTGACCGTGTTGAGGCGCTAGGTTCACTGCATGTGGTCTAACTTACTTCCACGTGTCAACCCTACAGTCAAGCTTTTCAGAATTACATCTGCGTATTTACCAATGTGCGGATATCTTCTTTGGGCGATAGTCTGTAGAACGTACAGCTTGAGCAAGCTCAAGGTTCTGAAGTGATGTGCGTGCCCCCGCCACCATGTCTTCTGTCACTTAATAACAAAAGAGGCCCATGTGCAAAGCTAATGCTCATAAGTAATGTCAGATTTTCAGATAGCAGTTAAACCAGTTGGCTTCCTGGGTACCCTTTCGGAATGATTTTAATTAAAAGTTTGGCATTTTGCCTGATAACATCTTTCTGACTTTACAGAAACTCTGGAATAATCACTAAGATATTCTGATTTAACAAAGACATAGTTAACATTTAAGCTACTTTTATTTGCCAAATATACCAAATGTTGTGTTGAGATTAGCCTCTAAGGATTCTAAGGGAAAGGAGATCCAAAATTGGGAAAGGCTTCAAATATGAAAGATGGACGAGGTGTAGTTTGTACATTTTGGGACAAGCCACCTTGATCTCCAAAAGTAAAGCAAACAGTCATAAAGACAGTAGTGTAGCTAATCAAAGTGAGTTCATAATGAAAACATTTCTGATAGCAGAGAGACAGCTTGTCAGAGCCTTGGTTGTGGCTCTGCCATTATCTAGCTTGGGGTTTATCAGTCCCTTGCATTTTTTTCCTGTATATTTGTATTCCCAACTAGTACACCTATACTTCTAGTCAGTTTTATGTAGACTGCTAAGTTGCTTTTATCAGAAGTTGAATATCTTATACCCTTTTCTTTTCCCTCCCCCAGAATATGCTCAAGTAATCAAAATGTTGGGAAATGGGCGCTTAGAAGCAATGTGTTTCGATGGTGTAAAGAGGTTGTGTCACATCAGAGGGAAATTGAGAAAAAAGGTAAGTGTGGGGATTTGTTTTAATTTAATAAAAAAATTGTCATTAAGGGAGGGGAAAATGGCTCTACAGTTTGTATGGGTCCAGGACCTCATAAGTCCCCAAAAGAGTTCAGTAGAACAATGATTTACAGATTCTATTTAAGGACTCATTTGCATCACCTGTGTTGTATTCCTGCCAAAAAATGTTTAACCTGAATCTAATCATGAGGAAACAATCAACAAATCCAAATTGAGGAACTCTGCAAAATAAATGGCCTGGCTTTTTAATACATTGTTAATGTCAGGAGAGTGGGGAAAGGCTGGGGTGCTATTAAGTGTTATGTTAATGTTAAATTTCCTGAACTGTGATCAGAAATGGAATGCCTTGGAAAGTAATGACTAATTTCCCATCATAATAGGTGTTCAGGCAGATTTATTAATTAGGTTGGTTGAAAGTCCCTCCAACTTCTGATTTTATGATTTTTAAAAAAATTTTTTGGTTTGTTAATCCTGTTACCAAACTAAAGTGGTGGGTGTGAGTAAAAGAAACGGACAGAGAGAAATGAGGCCACATTTCTTTTTTTTTTTTTTTTAAATCCTCACCTGAGGATATGTTTTTCTTGGTCTGGGGGGAGGGAAGGAGAGAAACATCAATTGTATGTTCCCCTACTAGGGATTGAACCCACAACCTAGGTATGTACCCTGACTGGGAAGCGAACCTATGACCCTTGGTTGTACAGGACGACACTACAACCAGCTGAGTCACCTGGCCAGGGCCACATTTCAAATTTCATATTCTTATATGTAATGAATGGATAACTAACCAAAGAGTGGTTCACTATGAAAAAAAAATCCCTTAATTTTTAAACTAATCATCATTTCTCTAGAATTACTAAACTGCCAAATAGTTAAATAAGAATATTGTTTTAATATCCCAAATTACCAAAAAGTTAAAACAGGCACAGCTGTTTCCTATAGTTTTGTTTTGGGGGAAGTTTTTCCCCAAAAAACAATATAATTCTAAATATAGGTACTTGGCCCATAGTTGGGTGAATAGCATTTTATGGGAATGCTGACTAAATGTTGCTCTTGATTTTTTATTTCTTTTATAGGTTTGGATAAATACGTCAGATATAATATTGGTTGGTCTGCGAGATTACCAGGTAAAATAAAAGAAAATTTGTATTGTTCACTTTCTTGATTGTAAACATCCATTAATGTTAGGAACATGAGCCATAGCCACATTTAACTGTTTGTATCAGCAAACATTTCATAAGGGCTAGTCATTTATGTCTTGGGCATTGTGCTAGGTACCCCAGGTATTATGGTTCCCAAATGCCAGTTCATATTTTCACTGCAGAAGAAATACAGGCCATGTACATTTTTAATGAAGCCAAATAGTTCTTTTTCCTTTTTTGATATTTAAAAAGTTTCCTTTTTGGAATAAGCGATAGTGTATAGTAATAGTTCTGTTAGTATTCTTAGTTGGCAAAATAAAAAAATAACCTTATGTTGGTCCTCCCACCCCAATTTTTAAAAAAATATATACATCTTGAAATCAAAATCTGGAAACCATTACTCCAGCTACAGAAACCATTGGGGCTACAGCTGAATGATTCATGCTGCCATCCCACAAGATGCTTATAGCCTAATGATTGGGGGAATAAGACAAGGAATACAGGTAGTTGCAGTATGTACTCTAAATTTAGATAAGCACTTAGATAATAACACGATAGTTGCCCCTGTTGCTTTCAGCCCCAGGACATTGTGGGTCTGTGAAATCTATTTGGTTCTACCTGTTGGAACTCATCACCATGTGTTAAATCACATTGTGAGTGATAAAATGTTTCTGGCTTTATAACCTTGGTCATACTTTGATTTTTTTTTTTAAAATGTATCCATATTCCAGAATAAAAAATTAAAATGTTTACTTTTAATCAGTGGTTTTCAACCATGGGTGATTTTTTTTTTTTTTTTTTTTTTTTTTAAATTTCCAGTGGCTTGTTTGGCAGTATCCTAAGACATTTCTGGTTGTTACACCTGAGAGAGGGGGACAGTGCCACTGACATCTAATGGGTAGAGACCAAGAGACCAAAGATGCTGCTAAATACCTTAACAGTGCACAGGGCAGTCTCAACAACAAATTGTCCAGCCCAAGATGTCATCATGCTGAAATTGAGAAACCGTGCTTTAAATTCATCTTTTATTTTTTTTTTTTAAGATTGGGGGAGGGAGGGAGGAGAGGGAGAGAAACATCAATCTGTCACTGCCCCTCGAGCGCCCCCTGCTGGGGACCTGGCATGCAATCCAAACATGTGCCCTGACTGGGAATCGAACCGGTGACCCTTTGGTTCCCAAGCCAGTGCTCAGTCCATTGAGGCACACCAGCCAGGGCTAAATTCATACCATTTTAATGTCCATTTTCTTCTTTTGATCTCAAAACTAACCCCAGAATTAGAATAATTAGTTCCCTGTTTGATAGATAGGAAACTAAGGCTCTGAAAGGTGTAACATTTTGACTAGAAAATGACAGCCAGGACCAATGTTTTTTATTCTTAATCTCCCATAATCCTTCTTCTCCCTGCCACTTAAAGAGGTGGTCCAGGGGCCAGTAACATTAACTTTTGGGAACGTATTAGAAATGCAGATCCTCGAATCCCACCCGAAGCCTCCTAATTCAGAATATGCATTTTAACAAGCTCCCCCTGGGTGTCTAGATACATTACAGTTTATGAAATTCAGGTCTGAGCCACACTGCCCTTGCATCACTGATCATTTTTATTGCCTTTGAAACTATCAGCCTCAACCCTTTTTTCTTATTAACTGAGTCATTTTTTTTTAAATGGGGAAGTGTGAACATTTCAGGCAGTAGTTTTCATTGGACTCCGTGTGACAGAAACACTCAAAAAGCTTTTTAAAATGAAAATTCATGGCTTCACTCCACATCTACTAATCCATCTTCAGGAGGTATAAAAGCTCCACAGGAGATTCTGGTCAATTCTACCTAAAGAACCGCTGATAGGTGGAAAGGTGTATTAATTTCCTTAGGTCATTATACCAGTCTCAATTTTTGAATTACGATGTTTAATCACCCTGTAAATGATGATCCCTGGAAGTTTTCGTATTTCAAAAGACTTCTGATCAAAGGGTAGTGGTGAGTAATCTACAAGATTGGATCTGCACAGTTTTGCTCTTATTAAAGTGAGATCTGTGAATGTTTCTCCTAAGCTTGTTGATCATTATTCATTTATTCATGCAAGTTTCATACTGGGTTAGACCTGAGGATGTTTTTCAGAGGGTAGGAGAAAACTTAATATTTTGCCATAATTAGATCTAAAAGTTATTTTTCTCTTTCCAAGGACAATAAAGCTGATGTAATTTTAAAATACAATGCAGACGAAGCGAGAAGTTTGAAGGCATATGGCGAGCTTCCGGAGCATGGTAATATCTGAGTTACTATATTAACCTGTTACGGTGCTATTACCTGGTGGTATTAAGATGAGCGAATTTCGGTAGAATTTTGTGGATTTTGCTGGCTATAGGGGACACGCTGCCGCGGGGGAGCGCCGCAGAGAGCACAGTGCTCCCTGAAATCTGAGGGAAACCATCTGGGGCCAGCTAAGGTGGGAGCAGAGCTCTGAAACCCACAGAGCCCATCCCAGGGTTGTCATGGATGAGGGGGACAAACACGAAACGTCACAAACACTTCTGTTTGCCAGGGGGAGCAGACAGGGGCACTTCCCTCTTCCCAGAGAAGGCCTTGGCACATCCCTTTTAGTGGGGAAGGTCCTGTTGCCCCTTATTCCAAGGCTTTTATTGAACATCTTATCCGTGGGGAATAACAGGAAAGCATACATACACTCATTAGCAAGATAAGTTTCACAGAGAATACATACCTTGAGGAAAACAAGTGACAGGAAGTCAGTGATTTACATGGGTCTGAGAGGAGACAAGAATCAACAACAGAGACTGAATAAGGGGGAAGTAGACTTAAAGATGCCTTAAAGGTAAGATAAAGGATAAAAGGTGTAAATAAAGCAAATGTCTTGACAAGCAAAGGGATGTAAATAATATGAATGTCCTTCGGGCATGAGCTGACCAGAGATTTGAGGGAGGAAGAGCACACTATAGAATTTATTTTTAGACCTGATTACCTTGGGACAGCCAGATCTGATTTAGGGCTGTTCCCACATTGTTTCAAGCCTGAGCCAGGCTGGGGAAGGAACCAAGAGATAAGGAGACTGCTTCTCAGCTGCAATGAGGACTCCGGCCATGGCCAAGCCGAGGGGTATGGGGGCCTTTTTGCCCCTTCTCCATGTCCCCCAATTTCTTATCTGCTGCCAAAATCAGGTTAATGCCTGTCTTAGGTCGAAAACCTCAGCGCGAGGTCCCTTACCCGTCATTGGCTAATTGACCACCCATGGCAAAGCAGAGAGGCAGGGGCTATGCGGACAGGCCAAGTCCCTTCACAGGAGCCTGTTTCTCCAAGGCCTCCTGATTATCTCCAGCCTTGGGGCCCTGCAGCCTGGTGGCAGGGTTACAGCTTCTGAAACCAGACCGGGCGTTTCCCAACATTGCATATTTACTTTTGTGCTTACATGATCTGTTTTAAGTCTGACTGCCTATATTAAACACCTGTACTAGATGCCTTGAGAAAATAACTGGGATTCTGTTTCTAGTAAACATACAGTACTTTTCATGAGAAGTTATACTTTATAAACTCTGGGCTTCTGTGTAATAGTAGTCAAAGAAAAAGTTGTAGTATTTCTTTTAAAACTCATTTCTCAAGGAGACTGTCAAGTGTTCGTCTACTTTAAATGTGAGGCAAGGATAGTCATTAGGTACTACTGCTGACTTTTATTAAAAAGTCAGTCTTCAATTCATCTTACCCTAGTATCACAGTATCCCATAGGATTATTTTTAGGCCAGCATTCTTGGTTTCCTCTCCCAATACAAACATTATGCATTCTTAATGCAGAAAACTTAAGTAAAACAAAAATAAGTCCATCACAACTTTATCATAGGGGAAATACACCTCACATACTTTTTTGTAAGCCTGCATTTTTTGCTTGGTAGTTAACTTTGGGGGGAGGGAGGCTCTTGCATATTATCATGAAAACAGTATGATATTTTTGTATTACATTTTATTTTTGATACATCTCCAAAGCATTAGGATACATGCATTTATGGCCTGGCCAGGTAGTTCAGTTGGTTAGAGTGTTGTCCCCATTCACCAAGGTTGCAGGATCAATCCCAGGTTAGGGCACATACAAGAAGCAACCAATGGCTCCAACTAGTGTGACTTAGTTGTTTGGGTCTCATCCTGCAAAGCAAAAGGTCACTGGTTCCATTCCTGATCAGGGCATGTGTCTGGGTTGCAGATTATGTCCCCAGTTGGAAGGCAACCAATCAATGTTTCTCTTTCTTTGTCCCTCCCTTCCCCTCTCACTGAAATCAAAAATAAAAAATTAAAAAATTTTTTTAAAGAAGTAACCAATGAATGCATAAATAAGTGGAACAACAAATTGATGTTTTTCTCTCTCAAATCAGTAGATAAAAAAATTTTACAAAATACACCCAATTTGAATTTTTAAACACGTAGTACTACTTTACTAATGCTATATGTATGTATTAAAGCATGCCCTAAAATAGAAGATGCAAAAGGATAAGAAATAAATACATCATTCTATTATTTTTTTAATGTCGCTCCCTTTGGACACATGAAAATGCAGCTGAAATCAATTACCTGGCATTTCCAATCTAGGAAGTGCTAATATATCTGGGAATAGGACTAGCACTTTATGGTTCATTTTCATTGCTTAGGGATAGCATGATTTGATCAGATCTTTCTGATTGATGAGTTAGATGATTAGTAAATGATCAGTATGTGCTTAAACCTTTTTTAAAGCATAGCTGGAAGTTGTAATAGCTTCAGAATTTATATAATTAGGGCCTGCCTTACTAAAAATACCTTTATAAACAAAAGAAAATTATAACACAGGTACATTCCATCTTGACTTAGCAGTCACTTTGTTAGAGGTTTTGTTGTGTAAAATTCTGACTGTTCTGTATAGTAGAATTGTTAGGTCAAAGTTAGGATCTTTCTGATATGGTAATAAAACTTAGATTTAATTAAAAGTTTGTTGTAAGAGTCTCTTTTTGTAGTTCAGCATTTGGTATCAGACCACTTCTTTAGTGGGCAATTATTTATTTTAACGTCTTGGTTATTAAAATAATAATATGTTCAGTGAGCCTGTTTGTTATTGCTTCTTCAGCTAAAATCAATGAAACTGATACATTTGGTCCTGGTGATGATGATGAAATCCAGTTTGATGACATTGGAGACGACGACGAAGACATTGATGATGTAAGTAGATGCACCTTGCATTTTTCAACATTTGTGAATTATCCACAGAGAAACCAGCTCTTTCCCCTAACTTCCTTTAATCTAAGAATGCTGAGCACTTAAATAAGGGTATATTTCAAGACTTGTCCATGAATTAAAATACTCAGTAGACAACTAGTCAGACTGTTTATACTCTGGGAATTCATCTATTTTCAACATTTCTTCCTAGAAAGATCAGTCTTTGCTTTGATGATATAAATGCTAGGCATTGAAAGCAAAACTTTTTTAATTAACAGTGTCTTAAGAGCCCTGACCTGTGTGGCTCAGTTGGGTGTCATCCCACAAAGCAAAAGATCATCCGTTCGATTCCTGGTCAGGGTACATGCCTGGGTTGCACGTTCAGTCCCAGGTCGGTGCGCGTTTGAGAGGCGACCAGTAGATGTTTCTCTCCTCTTTTCCCCTCCCTTCTCTTCTCTCTAAAAATAAATAAAGTCTTTTTTTCTTAAGTGTGTCTAATGGGATAGCTATTAAGAACTTTAGTTGTAAGAAATATAAGATCTTAGCACAGAAACATGCCTTCTGTCAATCAAAATACTAGTATATTTAAAGAAGAATTTTGTGTGAACCAGCTTGATAAGAAGTTTGAAATTACAACATACATTAAAAGCTTTGTTAAAATCAAGGTCTTTTGCCATTATGTGATTTTTATCTGCTGGATATGCACTATTGGCAAAATCTTGGTTTGGAGTTGGTGTGTCTATTTTGAGAAAAAATGTATTGTTTTTTCTAACAGTAAATCAGCGATGCTCACAAGAGTAAATGTCTCATTGCCATTCTGCTCTTAAAATATTTAAGTGAAATTCAAACTTTGGTTTTGGCAGTGTAAATTTATTTAATAATTAGGGTACAAATTTGGTTTGGGCTCTTCAACCCCCTTTAAATAAAAATGTAGTGGAGAAACCACCTGCCTAGATGAGTCTAAAAATAATACTAATGTTTGATTTGTTTCAAAGGTGAAATTGTCACATACCTAAGAGCAGTTATTCCTGACCAAGACTACAACAGAATTACCAGAGCTTTTCAAAAAATGCGAAGACTGGTCTTGGGCTGAGTTAGGCATCCCAAGTGATACCCACCACAGAAATTCTACAATTAACTCTTCCCTATACTTGATTTATCACGTATCTATACCTTTATTTATGCATCAGTCCATCTTATATTTTGATGCATCTTCAAACAATTAGGATTGACACATTTATGAATTTTTAAACATATATAGTACTACTCTCCTAATGCTTTGCACATTCTTTTTTTTTTTTTTAAAGATTTTTAGCCCTGGCTGATGTGGCTCAGTGGATTGAGTGCCGGCCTGGGAACACTGAAAGGTTGCTGGTTCAATTCCCAGTCAGGGCACATGCCTGGGTTGCAGGCCAGGTCCCTGATTGGGGGCCTTGTGAGAGGCAATTGATATCTCTTGGCAAAGATGATGTTTCTCTCCCTCCTTCCCCGTCTCTCTCATAGTAAATACATAAAATATTTTTTTAAAAATACAGATTTTATTTATTTATATTTAGACAGAGGGGAAGGGAGGGAGAAAGAGGGAGAAAAACATCAATGTGTGGTTGCCTCTTGTACGCCCCCAACTGGAGACCTGGGCCGCAACCCAGGCATGTGCCCTGGCTGGGAATCAACCCAGCACCTTTGATTTGCAGGCCGGCGCTCAATCCACTGAGCCACGCCAGCCAGGGCTCTTTTTGAATGTTGCTCCTTTTGGAGACCCTGAGCCATAAGATTCTTGTGACTGAACTATTAATGATACTTTTGACAGTAGATTTATATTTTCTGACAAGAACCTGACATGGAGCTATGTTGTAGATTAAGGTGTGATCTAAACATTTGGACAGCTGATCTGGGGTAGGAGGCCTCTTCAGAAATTAAGAGCCTAACCGGAGAACATGCCTGACTAGGAAGCCACGTGCAGGGGTGATAGGTTGAGAATCTAGACAGGAGAAAGATTTTCTAAGAAGAAAATTCCTGAATCTCGGCTAGTGATTCCTCAGAACTGAGCCCAGCAGGCTGGTGGGGAAAAGATGATAAAGACAGTAGTTGCTAAGGGAATTGGAGATATCTTCTTGAACATTTGTAAGGGTGGCTGTATCACCTGAGAAACTTACTTCTTCCTCAAGACATTTCTCTAGAAGGTTTATAGGTATTCTAGCCTTCACTCCTCTAACCAGGTTGACTGGAAGAAGAATTTGGTATTGTCCTTGGTCCTTTCTTAAAGAAATAATGCCCCCCTATGATCCCACCCCCAGAAGATGACACTAAACTTTATTAAGAGTATTCATGGTAAGTATTAAGAGTATAACATGTAACATTCTGATGGAGGTTGTGAAGATTTATTGGCAGCAGGCCAGAATTGAGAAATGCATGGTATACAGAAATTCCTCTTCAGACTGGGTTTGTTTCCCAGATACCCTAAGGGGGTAAAGGTCTCCCTTATGTGGTAGGCTGCTGCAATATAAGAACTCATTTTCATTTGACCTGATGTTCTTTTACCTTTCAGATCTAAATTGACCTCGACGTTTTACATTCCAACTTCTCTGCGGATTGGTCAACAATTTGGATTTTGGCTATGGCCTGTTAAAGAAGATTAAAATTATCTTTAGTTTGAGTGCAGTTTGTTAAAGCAGACTGATTTGTTTCTAAGGTATTTCTTTAAAAACTGGTAGTGCTGAATTAAACTAAATGTTAAGCCCACTTTGTTCTTTGGTGTAATGGAGCTTATGGGTAAAAAGAGCACATCTACTATTTTTAAAAAGAGAAAAAGTTCATTACCTTTCCTACTTTGACCACTTCCAGTAAGTAAATGGATGTTTTGAATAAACCATTTGCCCTATACTCGTGGATTATGATTAAGCCCTAGTTTTGACTGGCCTGTTGACTGTACAGTGACTTTCTGTATATTTCAATGACTTACGTCCCTTTGAAGTTTTGATAAAATTTAAGAGAGCAGAAATCTGCATTTGAAGTCAAAAGATTAGGTCTCTTTTTCATATTTAAGTATCGTGTGACTATTTTTATACTAATTTTGATATTACATATATTCTTTTCATTATCTAATTTTGCCACTATAAACATCAACAAAAAAACATTTCCAAGATGCAGATTTTAGAACCTGGGTTTTAATAGCTATTTTTATTTGTAAGGTTAGTAGTTGCAGAAATTGAACACTAGGTGGCACCCAGTTATCTTAACATTGGAAATACTGGTACAGTTGTCAACTTTTTTTTTAACTTAACCGTGCGTAGGAAATTTCTCAACCAAGATTGTTTTGATCAGTATGCATGTATGTGGAATTTTTTGCAGAACAAAAGAATTACATTGTGTCATTGTATTTCAGAAATCATATATACATGTAAACTACAATTTTGAGTGCTGTATAAATGAAAATTTAATTTCATAACAACCTGTAAAAGTTAAGTGTTTTTCAAACTATCCCAAAGCTGGGGAAAGAGGAGGGAATAACAAGTTAATGAAAAGGTGGTCTCCCATTCCTACACAGTGGAGAAATACAATAAAGACAATGTCACATTGCAAACTATATTATACCTTACTTTGTGTTTAGGGTGTATTTTATTGTGTGTTCAGATTTTATATATATGTGTGTGTATGTGTATATATATATATATGTGTGTGTATATATATATATATATATATATATATGTTACTGAGGATTTAGATTCACCCTTATTTAGCTTTTTTGTTTATCAACTCTAGTAAAATAAAATTAAGGGCTGGACTAGTTAGACCTCACTAGCCACATTGAAATCGTATGCAACTTTTAAAAAAGAGATCCATCATGTAGCACGTGAAGCTTTTATTCTACTGGTCTTCAGAGAACTTTGCCATGATGAAAAGTAATATAACGAGGAATAAACCTTCACGTGGCTCCCAAGAAAACACAAATCTTATCTCATTCCATGCTTAGTATAATTTCCTAAGTGCAAATTCTGGAATCAAAATCTGAGGTTCTATAAAACATTGTTAAATCAAAGAACAGAAATTAAGAGTGAACAATTGGGGTTCTTGTTTCTTATTTGGCATTCCTGAAAACTTACCTAGGTGGGATGTACCTGAGCCCATGAGCTAGTTTTTAATACTTACAAGAAACCAGCCTCTAAGAATTGTCAATAGTTAGTTAACTGTGCCTGGGATACAGTTCATGGTAAGGACAGTGCAACTCAAACCTTAGTTTTTCTACTTAACTCCTGTAATAAATGTGGTTTATCTAAAGATTCTTTAAAAATTACAACAATGGCCCCCAATCTTCATATGTTTGCTAGCGATTTTTCCTTGCCTTGGTAGTAACAGCTCAGTGTAGTGCTGTTGCACCCTCAAAAATCAGAAATCATTAAACAGTTGAGGTAAAGTTGTAGCTCATATGCAGCACTACTTGGAATTATTTTACTAACTTGTCTTTACTGTGGGAATAATTCCGTTTTCATTGATTTGACTATATTTCAAACGAATGGAAGTGGTCCTTAAGGAAATTTTTTTTGTTGTTTTTGGGGATTTTGGAATTTTTTTTTTGTTATACTCTGATTCCTAAAATAGAAAGCTATAAAATGTGCTGTGAGAGAAAATAAAATGTTTGAAATCCTAAGATAATAGTTCTTACTGCTAAGAGGCATAATAGTTATTAACGAGTTTGATAGGCTCGCTTTTTTCATGTAGTGTTTATTCCACTTCCATTTAGAGTATAAACATGTATTACTAAGTTGACTAAATAATCAAACCAAGTGTTTGTGTAAAAAAAATACTTGCCAAGATTTGACTGTTGAATCTTTCTTGAACATGCAGCCTCTTAAAGAGACCGCCTCTTACTATGCATGACGAAAATTCTTGTATTTTATTAAGGAATGGCCATTGGTTTGCTCACTGCATCTCTGGTATCGTGGCTATAAATATAGTTGATTACAAAACTTTTTGTGACTTGTGGTTTAACTTAGTTTCACCTATCATGTGTAAATACTAAATTACAGGATGCTATCAGTATTGACTAAAGAGCAAACAGTAATCAATTAGGTAAAAGCATGTTTCAAATAAAATATCTAGCTGGACTTATACTTTATTATGTACAGATTTAACATTCAGTATTAATTGTGGCTTGACTGTTAAAGTATCAGAATGAAAGTGAGGTTTTTTATGTTGCTTGGTTGTGATAAAGATAAAAAAGAACTGTATTGGTATGAGATGTTTAGATCTTTATTCTGTTCACAAGGGAAAGTTTCATTTATGCTGTTTGGACTCCCATGAACTTTCACACACCGTTTTGTGGTTTTGATTTACCTTAAAGTACCATTGTTTTTATCCTTGCTGATTTTTTCTTCCTATTCCAAAAAGTACACAATCTGAGTTGTCTTACTACAAGTATGATAAGACACTAGCCTCTTAGCGAACCAAGGAATTTGGAGAGCGTATTGGGCTGTGTCCTCTCTTCTCCCCAGCTGCCAGACACTGCGGAAGCAATGGGGCAGAGTGAGGAGCATGGGCCCTGGGGTCAGGTGGCCTGTGTCCCAACCTCCACTCTTCCCTTTACCTGTAGGTGACCCCTGGTACTTACAGCGTGTCTGAGCTTCATGCTTCTCACCTGTAAATGGAGATGATGAGAACAGTCCCTGGAGAATCACAGAACTGTTGGGGATTAACAAGTAGATGGTCGTGCATGTAATGCACTTAGAGCAGTGTCCACCGCTTTTCACTCGATATCCAGGATTGTGTAAGATAGAGGATGCACGTTTTTTATATTCTCTGCCATTTCTTTTACATGTAGTCTTTGGTTTCTATAATAAAAGAAAAACATACAGTATATATTTGTATGTTCATGTTGACACTATTTAAAATAATTGCTACCATCCTTGTTTAATTCAGTGTAAGACTAACAGATGGAAGCCTCTAAATTGCCGGAGATGTTTTGCAAAATACCAACTGCTCTATATTTCTTTAGAGAAAGTTTATAGTTATTAATAGTGATAGCTCTGGTCATATTTCATTCTTCAGTCTTTAATGAGTCCTTTTACAGTCTTTTATTATAGATTCATGCAAGCTAATTAGTACTGACTGATCTGGCAGTTTCCTTTCTCATGTGGAATTATGTTTAAAAAGTCAGATGCAAAATAATTGCAATTACAAAATAAAATATAAAATAACTTGCAACGCTGTATGCAACTGATTCTTTTCAAACTGACTTTTAACTACTAAAACTTTTACTCATGATGATTCTTTTCTGAGAATTTTATTTTTAAAAGGTTACATGTGATATGAGGGAAATATCTACTTACCTGTTTTTATTTGTGTGTTTCTGGTTATTTGATTCAGATGAATCCAATCAGACTTCAAATACGGGGTTGTGTTTTCTGGGTGAGTAAATTTGTCACGCCTGTGGTGAAGATGGCATTTTTCTAATGTTAAATCAATTGTCCAGAATGTCTTCAAACTGTCAAGATCACATTCAGTGGACCTTATTTTTATATTATTCAATATATGATAAAAGTGGTTTGTTTCACAACCATTGAGAGAGAAAAGTTCGGTTATCAGTATATGGTGCTGGGAAAGCCACTTTATAGAGAAGAGAAAATGTGGATCTCTGTCACACCATATACAGGAAATAAATTGCTCTAGACTTAAGGTGAATCTATAATGGCAGGAAATATAGACTATCTTGGGGCTGGGAAAGTGTATGCTAAACAAGACCTCTTTGATCTCTACTTCCTTCTATTGTCTTTACTACCTGATAATGCAGTTTGAGTTTACCCCTTGACTCCCAACTCCACTGAGGCCTAAGAGTCACAATAAACATCGCACAATTTGACCTTTTATAGCTGCATTTTGAAAAAAACCTCAAAGCATAAACCATAAAAGGAAAAATTGATTTTATTTTGTAACAAAGATTGGATCAAGCAAGAACTATCAATAGAGGCTGAATCTAGGGGGAAGTTTGGGCAAGAAGTAGGATATTTGCATGGCCTTAAAGTGCCTCCCTACAGATCACTTATAAATGGAAAGAAAATGATATACTTCTATAGTGGAGAAAGAGCCAATTAGATAAAATTGTATACATGTTCTATTTACTGAAGTCAATAATGTGGTTGTGTAAGAGAATATCCTTATTAGGAAATGCTGAAATATTTAGGAGTGAAGGGCCAAGCATATACTCTGATATGCAACTTTCAAAACAGTTGATAAGGTAGAGATACAGATAGAAGTACAAATGATAAATGGGGTAAAAAGGTAGTGATAGGTGAATCTGAGTAAAGGGTATATTCTGTGAACTCTTGAAACCTGTAAATTTGAGATTTTTTCTATATAAAAAGCTTTGTTAATGGGTTGGTTTTTGGCATAAAAATTAAGGAGATTTACTGATCTTAGAAAAAGTTGACTAGTGTGAAATATTTGCAATATTTTTAAACACAAGGAATTACCTAGATACTGGAAACTCCTGGAAATCAAGAGAGACAGCCTAATAGAAAGATGGATGAGTATTTAATACGTAATTTTCAGAAGAGTAAAAACCACTATGAATGGCTTATCTATTTCTGATTTGCATACAGCTGCAAGGAAAAATAACTATTGTGCGATATCACTTATATAAACTAAAACCATGCATATCTTCACAATATGTTTAAAAAATACAGCTAGAAAAATACGTTAAACAGGAGGTGTCCATTACTAGAAAGAGGATGGAGTGGAACAAAGTAAAAAGAGGAAAAAAAAACTAGAGAAGGATGCTACTCTGACATGTCAGCAAGCCATGAGCTCAAAATTGGATGAATTACTCCCAACATCTGTAAGAAAGGGGGGGGCAGGGAGGGGGGGTGGTAGAGCAGGACAGCCTTGGCTGGTGTGGGTCAGTGGGTTGAGTACTGGCTGGCCAACCAAAGTGTCGCTGGTTCAATTCCCAGTTAAAGTACATGCCTGGGTTGCTGTCTAGGTCCCCAGTTGGGGGTGCTCTAGCAGCAACCACACCTGTTGTTTATCTCCCTTCCCATCTCTAGAAATGAATAACATCTGAAAGAAAATGGGGGAGGGGAGTGGAAAACAGCTCGCATGACCTAATTAGTTTTCTTTACAGCCAAGGGACCAGGCCCCACATGCCTGCTTACCTGCTCAATTGTGTCTAAAACTTCCCTTCTGGCTTTCTTACCAGTCGCACCCTACTCCCACCACACCTTTGGGAGTGTCACAAACACATTTTTGTGCCACAAAGGGACTCTCGACAAGCTTTTTGTTTCCTGAGGGTTTCGGCTTGGTTTTTGGTTTTTGTTTTATTAATCGTGTAATTTACCTACCATAAAGTTCTCAACTTAAAATGTACAATTCAGTGGTTTTTAGTATACTTACAGAGTCAGCCATCACCATTAGCTAATTCTAGAACATTTTCATCATCCCAAAAGAAACCTTGTACCTTTATATGTAACATAATTCGGCTTTTTAATCATGTATTTCTCTCTCCCGTAAGTGTGAGAGTTGGAACCTCCGAAGGCCGGCCCAACAGAGCAAATTAAGCGTGGGGCTCCGCTGCGATGGAGCGACGCTTGGCAGAGGCTATACCTGAGTAAACACCTGGAGGCTTGAGCTGGCTCTGCAAAGATGTTTTTCAATATGTGTCATTTTGAAAAGATGATAAATGGTCATGGCAGGGGTAAAAGGGTGTGCAGGGGAAAGAGACACCCCGCACACAATTCCCCTATCCTACTCCTGAGAGACTATACGTTTAAGTTTTCTCCTGTTTATTCCCAGAGGGGTCCTCCACACAGCTTTCTGAAGTGCGTGTTATTTGCGCCTCAGGAAAAAAACCATGGAGTAGCTCTGCGGCCGAATCAGCCAGGGATTGGGGGCATGGTTGGAAGGTGGAAGTCCGTCAAACTGGTGCCGCTGCCCTTCCTTGGAAGGTCGTCCAGGCTGGCTATGCTGGAGTTCCGCCCTGGGTGGCCTGCACGTGGCTGGGTGTGAGGGAGGACCTAACGCCAGCCACCCGGGCATCTGGAGAACTGAAACCTAACTGTTGGGAGGGTCCACCGCGTCTGCACACGTTAGCACTGGGCCAAGAGGCGCCTGCCTGAGGCCTTAGGAACTGTTTCCAGAGCTGCAGCGCTATGTGTGTGTGGGTGCCTAGTGTGTGAACGTATGCGAGCCATGTGAGGATGAGCGTGGATGGCGTGAGATCATGTGTGCCAGGTGAGCATGTGGTGTGTGCGCGCTTTCTTCACAGGCTGTGTGAGAAACTGCATCCAATGTGTATAATGCTTTGAGTGTGCACTGTATGGGGAGGTGTCTACACGTCGTGTGTGTAGGCCCGCTGTGTTAAGACCGGTGTACACATCGCACGTGCACCCGGTATGTGCGCGCACTGTGAGAACTAGTGCGCACATTCAAGTGCACGAGGTATGGGCCTGCTGCGTGAGGACCGGTGTGCACTTCGCCTGTGCACGCGGCGCGCGTGCGCGGCGTGAGAACCGGTGAGCACTTCCCACGTGCACGCCGTGTGCGCATGCTGTGCGAGGACGCGGGCGGGTGCGGGCGCGTGCGGCTCAGTAACGGTGCGGCGCAGCGGCTTCGGCAGTGGGCCTCGGCAGCCGGCGCGTCCGGATGGAGCACGGAGGCGGCTGCGGGGCCGGAGCCGGGACTGCGCAAGGGACTGCGCGGGGCTCTCCGCTCCCCGGGAAGATGGCCGAACCAAGTGCAGTGCGGACCTCGCCGCCCAACCATCGGTTTTCAGGTAGGGCCCGCGGGTTCAGCGGCCGCCAGGGCTTCAGGCCCCCAGGGGCGGGGCGGGCCCGCCGCGGACCGCGCAGGCAAAGATCTGGAGCTCTTTGGGCGGGGACGCGGCGCGGAGGTAAGATCCTTCCTCCTACCTAGGTTTGGCTGGGCATTGGACCGAGGGCCGCGCCCCTCTTGGCGCGGGTGGCAGGGTCTCCTCTGGGATGGCCTGAGAGGTTGAGCTTGGGGGTGGGTAAGGGTAGGTGGCAAGAGTGTTTGAGGTGGGGTCCCGAGGCCCACGTTTGATGCCTGGGGGGAGGCTCTCCTCGGGAGCGGCCGGTGTAGGGGGCACTGGGGTAGACTGAGCAACCTGCGGGGGATAGTCAGGCCTGCGCGCCCGCCCACTCTGCGTCTGGAGAAACGCGCGAGAAGCGGCTTCATTTCCCTGCTAAGGTGGCCCAGCTGCGTTCTCTGGGGTGTTCCCGGGGGGCAGGACCCGTGGGTGAGCCACTGGCACGAGTGGATGGAGCGCCGCCTGGGCGGCGGAGCGTGAGCCCCTGACCGGGTTCTCCCGCCCGCGGCGTGCGCTCCCCGGGGGTCTGGCGGGGCCGCGGGCCGCGGGCCGCTCACGTGGCAGCTGCTAAGACCTAATGAGAGGAGCAGGAGGAGATTTGAAGACATTTGGCAGAATTTTAGATAAGCAAATATCCCAGTCTTTTAATGTTCTGTAAAGTGGTTGCAGGTAGTGTGGGGGTGTAAGCAACGCGAAAACTGATTTCATGCTGTTTTTCTTGGCAAAGCTTTTTTTTTTTTTTTAAGTTAATGGGAGTTATTTTTAAAACACCTTTTACTGCAGTATAACATGTATACCACCAAAGCTCACAAATCTTAAGTATACGATTTGAAGCACTATTGCATAGTGAAATCTGATTATTTTATATAAGATGTACCAAGGAAGGGAAAGGAATCAAGGGAAAGGTTTAAAAAAAAAGACAAAACCTCCGATTTTTAAAAAAATTATTGATTTCAGAGAGACATCTAAACATCGAGTTGTTGTTCCACCTATTTATTCATTCATTGGTTGCTGCTTGTATGTGCCCTGACTGAGATGCAACCCACAACCTTGCCATATCAGGAGGACACTCTAACCGAGTTACCTGGTCAGGGCCTAAGGGAAATGTTGTTTAGTCACTAAAAACATGTTTTTAATTGAGGGGAGGCATGTATGATTGAACCTTTATTTGCATCATTCATGAAGGAGGAAGTGGCTTAAACCTTTCCTAGTTTGTATTTCATTTTTCATCATGCATATTTTTAAGGCAGAATTTAACAAACATCACAGGATAATGATATAAATACTGTAAATATATACTTCTGTTTTCATCATTTTTTGCTTGAGAAAGTCTGCATTTGCTAAGGAAGAACCCAGAATGCACTGTGGTGGGGTGTTAAAAAATAACTTTACTCCTACCTTCTAAATTTCTCTAGCTGGGCAATAATCAAATTAACAAAGACAGATTAACAGGAGAAAATGTACAAAGTTTATTACAGATCTGTATGCGTGAGTGTCATAAGGTATGAAACCCCAGTTGAGGCTTATGTGCCACTCCAGACAAAGGACAAGAGGCGTAGGGATCACGGATTTCAAAGAAGTGGATAATTCACAGGTTGGAGAAAGAGCCAACATATGCTAAACAAATTCTCCCTGAGCCACCCAGAAAAAATAGGACACAAAGGGAAACACTTGGCTGGATTGCTTCCTGTCCATCACTGGTGCTAATTCATATGCGCTAAGGTGCTTTTTCCATTTGAATTCTTTAGGCAGGAAGGGGGAGGGGTCAAAGGCTGTTTCTGAGGCTTTTGTTTCTTAATAACCAGTTTAAATCAGTATCCCAAAATGCACATTTTGGGGTGGCAAAACTTGGGTTTGCCTCACCACCCACTCACCCATCAATGCCAGCTGCTGGGGAGAGGGACCTAGAAGAATCACACATTAGAAAGGGGAGGTTGTTGAAGTTCACATTTTTATTTGGTTGAGAGTTTAAACAACAGGTGATTTCAGTGTTTACAGGCAGGGAGGGGCTGTATGGTTGGGCCTGCAATTTTATCTATGGGATTTTAATTTATTTGAAGGAACTTAATAAGGGGGCAGTCTTACCAAGACTAATTGGAAACCTTATTGTAGAACCATTTAATGCACTCTGTACTGATATTAAGATTAGCTTAAAGCCATTTTCCTTCATTTGAAAGTGGAAATATTGGAAGACATGTGCAGAGGTTTAAAATATTAAATACATTTCTGTGTGCATTAGGGTTGGTGTGGAAAAATTGGAGTGTTCAGTTTTGGTGCCAGGTAGTACCGTGGTTTGTTCTTTTGAGGGTTTGTGAGGTCACGTACTTAGAAAAATAATGTCATTCTCAGAAAAGTGTTGATTATTGAGGTTTTATTATAATCCACACCAGAATCTGATCATTCTTTGGTCACCCAAGGCCATATCATTCCTAGTGAGATTCAAACCTGCATTTCTTGAGGGGTTAGCCTTTGTTCCTGAGTTTGTGCTGAGTCCTGTGACAGCCAGAAAAGACAAAAAGACCTGTGACGTGTAAGCTCTGAAAGATTTCATGTGGGCACATTGGGGGATGGACATGAGTTGGTGAGTGAGGAGTTTTCCTGGGAGCGATTGTGGAAGGCAACAAAAGACTACACCTGGCTGTTTCCTTTAGCAACAGGTTGTTCTGATATGGAAATCCGGTGCGTGTTCCCATTATCTACCAGTGATGTTTTCTTTCCTTTTAATTACCTCCCCCCATGGAAATGACCAGATGTACTGTTCTTTTTAGTGCCTCTGTTATATGCACAGTGTAACGAAGGAGGAGCCAGCGCCTGTCCTTTGGATCTGGTTAAATACCTTTAGCCAGCCGGTAGACTCACTGGATCTCAGCTGTGGGACTGCCTCAGTGTCACATAGGTCCTGTGCTCCCCTCAGCCTGAAATGTACCCCTCTCCCATTTTCTCTTCAGGGATGCACTTCCTCTGGGCTCCTCACAGTCCAAATTAAGGCGCATGGTCCTGTCTCTGCCTTTGGCACCTGCAGTGAAACACTCTTCATAGTCTGTGTCACATTAAGCTCCCAGTTCCTCCCAGCAGATGTTCATTGGGTGCCCACTGGAAGCTACTGCGGTCGCTAGAGCTGAGTAGATTGAGATCCAGACTGCCAGGGTATGGTGCCACATGTCCCCTTCCTGCTGCCTCACCTCGGGGAGGTTGACATCTCTGAGCTTCAGTTTTTTCACCTTTAAAATGAGCTGAAAAACAACACAGGAAGCTATAGCACTGCTTTGAGGATGAATGAATTACTGCCCACAAATCAGTGCCTGACGCATAGTACATGCTCAAGCTGTTTAGCCGTTGTCTCCTCTATTAGATCACTGGCTTGAGTGCCAAGGACTGGGTCCAGGGTATATGTGCCTCCCTAGGTGCCCCCTGGGGCAGAGGGAGGCTGGATTGGATGGTTATCCAACCCCTCCCCAGAGTGTTTGCACGTAGTAGGTGTGTCATTGATATTTGACAATTGCATTCTGCTGGCAGCAGCCACACAGGGTTGAGTTGAGTGCTTGGCAAATACTCATGAGGCAGGTTAGGGAAGTGTGTCAGTGAAGGAAGGTGAGGGAGTTTGAAATCATGGAATTACAGAGCATATTTCCTGAGGCCTGTTGAGCTTTCCAGGGCATTCTGCCAGTCAGTATAGTTTACTGAGTTGCCCATTATTCCCTAGTAAGGAGGAATGGCTTTGAGGTAAGATGAGGCTCCCTGCTGTCCCTTGGCCTGCGTATTTTCCATCCCTTGCCCTAGATCAGGAGAACGTAGGGGCGTAAGCTGGAAGTTAAGGAGCATCCCTACAGGCCCAGAATAGGGTGGGACTGAGTAGGAAAGGCTGAGGTGGGTCCCCAAGAAATCAGAGTTCTTCATCCTTTCTCAGAGTTGCATTTAAAACCATTCCTGAACACTTGAATCCTAAAACTACTTGGACCCAGGAAGAGCAAGTTGAATTTGTGCGTGTGGATTAAAATATCCATCCCTTTGGCAGCAGGAAGGATCCCCAGGTTAGTAGGCAAAGACATAGAGTCATGTTTGGTTTGGGGCATCTGGCTTTGTTTAGTGACAGCACCGAGGACTTGGACTTGGCAGGACCTACAGGGCAAACTGTTGAAAGTCTGCCTGACGATCAGTGGTTTCTCTTCTGATGTCCCCACCCTGGTGACACAACTGTCAAAGTCTGTCATTTCTATTTCTAACTGTTCTTCCTCTCCAAGATTAAAGGATGCTTTCCTCTCATTCAGATGCCCCCATATTCTGCCGTGGTGCATTTTTTGAGAGAGCCTCTCATCTTCTGTATTAATTATACTGATTGACTTATAAAACAGGTTGATTTGGGCAGGCGAGGGATGGGGATTGTGGGGGGACATAGACACGTGGCCTGGTGGGCCTTGGTGGGAGGACGTAAAAAGGTGTAACTTGTAATGCGCTCGGCATAGTAAGTGCTCACAGGGCAGGTGGTGTGATCATGCTGACGACGATACTGCCTGGTGCTGAGTGGGCTCTGGCAGGAGTTCAAGGATTGGAAAACTTTTGCATGGCCCCACCCTGCAGCCTCGTGAGAACAAATTACACCAGAAGGGAGAGGCAGTGGTTGAGGGTGGCTGACCTTGGGGCACGGTGGCACTGGAGCGCTTACTCACTGCCCACCTTGGAGAAGGGGACCACCTTTAAGTGTGGAGCACGCAGGCTCGGCATCTGGGGCTGCAGGGTGGGCCAAGCGTCCGGATCCCCTCCTCCTGAATGTAGGTCTCGTCTGCTTTTCTGTTGGAAGGCATTGCTTTCCTTTTGCCTAGAAAGTTCTCTTTTTAAAAGCTTTGTGATTTGCAGAGTTCAGGCTGTGATTTAAGTGAAAGGAAAACAGGTCTGAGTGAGCTGTACACACACATAATGTTTGAGGGAACAGCTGGCAGCGGTCATGC